TCGTAGGATAACGCTGATTTGCATTATACAAAATGTGAAATGTAAGTTTCATGTTATCCAAGTTATCCATGCCATTATAATACAGTATATTGAAAGCATTGGTTTGCTTTAATTTTTTTTCCTCTTGAATTAATTCGCATCGCTCACGTATGTTGCTTCTGTAACATTTTACATTTTACTAAATTTCTATTCTCATTAAAAGCGTTAATTAAAGTCGTGTCGCTTTCCTCATCAATATGCAAAGTCTGTAGAATTAAATATACTTTAAAGAAGGAAACTAAACGAAAGAAAGAGACTTTAATACCGATTTTCCTTTCGACAATTAAAACAAAAGAATCGAGTGAGTACAATGAAGTACGGCAGGAGATGTAAAGTCACTAATTGATTTCCTCTCCCAAAGTCTCCATTAGATGCTACTACGGGAACAAAAACTACTATTTTATTCGGCCCGACTACTGACGTGGCTCCCCCTGTCCGCCGGAAATGACAATAAATTGTCTCCTGTAGCTACATCTTCGAATTAATGATTTTCACAAGAATACCATTAACTTCGACTAGGCATTTTCCATTCACCATTATAGAAAATTACGCATCATTTTTAATAATTTGCGAGTTCCAGATTACTTTAGAACAATTTCAAAATATTTAATAATAATAAGGATCTAGAATTATGCATTGTTTAAAGCTGTTAAACTGTATCATTTAATAAATATATTTATTTATTAATTTATTACTCAAACAAACAAGTGAGGATCAGAAAGAATTGCTCATTATTTATCTATATTTAATTCTCCGGAGTATCACTACTTAAAAATTTAAGAATTAATATAGGCCTACTTATTCTCATAATCCCACTATAAAAAGTAAAATGGATCGAAGTACATTAAAGAAGTTTTCTGTTTAAAAATAATTCTTAAATTCGATTATAAATCCCAAATTCTTAATATGAATTTTCCTTTCAACAACTTTAAATAACATTTTATTTTTTGCCTCCATCTTTTTTTTAAGCCGTTGAGGATAGGAAAAAAATTTTAAGATGCATTTTGAATGGAAAAAAAAATTGAACTTTGTGAAAAAAATCGATTTAAAATTCACTTAAATTAACGGTTAAATTGCAGGAATACTCCGGTAAAAGTCAGTATAAACCCGTTAAAAATTCTACCAGTATTAATAAACTAAACAGTTAAAAATTATATTTAAAAAAGAAAAAAATCCTATAAAATTTTATTACTTATAAGAAAATAAGAAATTTCAACAGCGATTTTTTGAGCTGACAAAATGGTAACTTTTCATGTTATTTCAATCAATAAAAAATAAAAAATAAAACTAGTAAAAAAAAAGAAAGAACAGATCTATAAATCATGTAAATCCATAAAAACAACATTATATTAGATTCCAAAAGGAGAATACATCACATACATACGTGCATCCTGTATTTTTCTTTGTAACTGATGAAAATATTCTTATCTACATACAGAGCTGTAATTGTAAATTTGTAAAATCGATGTACGCTTTACAATAAATGTCTTTTGTACATTAAAAAAATAGGGAGGAAATATAAGATAAAATCCACGTTATTGTTTTTAACTTGTAGATATACGAGCAAACAAAGATCCAGATAAGAATCAAACTGTTTTCTATATCACGAAACATGATTTAAATGTATAATCTGCGTATTTTTATACTTATCGAGTTACTTTATCAGCAAAACCTTTGAATTTTTATTAATTCTTTAACACGAAGAATGAATTTATTTTTTTATTAAATTCCATTTAAAAAAAAATAATAATAATAATTAGGGACAAGAAAGTTGTTTAATTGAAAGAGACGATAAAGAAAAAAAATGGCGACGATTTTAAAAGTCATTTTATAGGATGATTCAATTCAATATCGATTGGCTTTCTTAATGAAAGAATCGACTTCGAGAAAGTTTTCGACTTTCCAATTATTTTCAAAATGATCGAAAGTCATTATTATTAAAAAAATGTCAAATTTTATAATTCATTTGCACGCTGTATACACTTGAAAAAAATGACAAATTAACTAATTAGGCTATATTAAGTTAATACGTAATTTTTTAAAACGTTTGCATTATTTTAAACTAATAATTATTAATAACAAAGCTAAAAAAGAAGATTATGAACGTTTAAGCCGAGTAACTTTAATTTAAACGTGGTTAGAATTTAATATTTAATAATAAATTTATTATTTTAATAAGTGATTAATACGTACAAATGAACAATTAATACTTACATTAATTTATCTGGGAAAAAAAAACAAAGCAAATAAATATAAAAAGTGAGTTTTTATGATTCATCATTTATGGACATGTTCGCTTTTTAAATGAGTAAATGGAATGTATTTGCTTTATCCATTTAGATGCGCGTATTTACTTGAATGATGGACGTTTTCCTTCTTAATCTTTATTTGCAATTCTGCTTAAGATTTCCATAAATAAATCAAACGCGATGTATTCAGTCAACAAATATTTATATAATGCTTATTATGGATAGATATTAAAAAAAAATTATCCCGAAATCAACTTTATAAAAGCTTTATAATTTATTCTTTACACCTCGTTACTTGTTTGACTATCGATAATTTTTAATTCTCCATTCTTCTCTCTCTGTGTAAAAGTTTCCTATGTAAAAATTTACATAATTTTTAGCCGAAATTTCGGGTAAATTTATTTAAAAAAAATTGAAATTATGCAAATGTTTCTGTTAAATATTTGTTACCTTTTCGTGTCCCTTACAGGTGTTTAATTATTTGTGTCGAGAAGTTTATATAAATTTTTAATAATTTCTAATTTTATTCTAAAATATAGAAGTAGTAAGTGAAAAAAAAAGAAAATTAATTAAAAAAATCTGTAACAAATTCGTCAGATTAACAAGAAAATTTGTTTTATTCCTCATTAATGAAATAACAAATTGGAATGGTGTTCTTCCTCCTCCCTTCTCTACTCTTTTATTTTCTTTCTGACATTTTCTTACTGAATAAAGAAATGAACCTTGGCTTTTTTTTTTTACTGAATTGCCAAAGTAATATACACGAAGATTCTCATTTGCAAGGAATTTTTAAAATAAAATAAATTCTTACGAAATTTTCGGAATAACTAAATTTCATTTCTATTATTTCGAAATAAATCAATCAATCAATTAATGTCAATTCTCTCAGGGATCAATCGATCAAAAGATGTTTGTTATGTCTCCTTTCATTTCACGGATTTCATTTGATTGCCGCAAAACATGGCAAGGGGAAAAAATTAATTTTAACCTTAATTAACAAACCTATTATTACTATTACACATTTAATTAGCATTTAATATTTAATAAGCATCAAGAAAATTTAATTTTATATGATTAATTTTCAAGTCGGATAGCTTAAAAAAAAAAACGTTTCGAAATAAGCAAACTTCAATTTATTTTTAACATATTTCTTGAAAATTAATCATGTAAAATTAATAACTTTCTGATATTTGTTAATTATTTTACAAACTTTCACCCGAAATTAATTAATTATCTAAAATTAATAAGGTTTAATTTCATAATATTGAACATTTTAGCATAAAAGTGTATTCATGCAACCACAAGTGAAATTTCATTGATTGAAACCACCCTTACGCATATATGCAAATCTATGTATCAGTAATTTTATTTAATTAATCATTTCTTAACAAGAAATTCATTAAGTTACACGATTTTGTTTAAACGAATATGCAAATTTATAATCTCAGAAAATTATACAATACAGAAACCTTACAGTAATTGTTATGAAGTATGTAATGTAATTAATTCTACAAACTCGGAGTAATATTTTGCAAAAATTTATAATTATTCTGTAATGAAATAAAATAAAATAAATTATATATATATATTTTTTTTAAATTGTAAAAATTCACCGAAAATATATTTTATTGTGGAATTTTTCTAGTGTTATTTTGAGAATCGAACTGTTTACAACATATTTATGAAACAGAATATAAAACATCAGGCGAAAAAAAGGGACAAAATGAAAAAAGATTTTTTATCTGGAATGTCATTTACAATCATAAATAACAGTTATGTTTTTGTTTCTGTCACAGTTATCGATATACACACGTTATATTATATTATTATGATAATATATTATAACAGAAGGAAGCATGATTAAATTTAATATTTCTAATATTATTATAACGTTAAAAATTTTTTCAAATATTGAGACCGAACCTCAATACATTCGACGTGAATAATGTTTTCTTTTAATAGAATTTCTTAAGGAACAATTAATGTTTATGTCTTTAACAGCCGAACAATAGAAGGGGACGTTCGCTTCTGTTTTCCAATAAAGATTCATTTTTTCCACTCAATCACCAAACTCATTCATCAATAGAACAGACAACCAGATGTGCCAATGTGTTTTGGCACACGAACAAAAACACTCTACCTAACAACACTTAAGCGACTTCCACAGTTAATAATAATAAGAAAACATACTTCAAATAAAATTAAATACGGTAAGATTAATTCCCAAAGAAAATCTTAAAAAAATAATAATTTTAATTATTTATTATTATATCTATTAAATAAAATATCAATGAAGAATTTTATAAATAAAATTCACAAAGATCAAAAGTGCCATTGTGATGTAATCGCCGGCCGATAATTTTTATATTTTATAATTAAATATCACTTTTGCTATCAACAAAAATAGAATTTCTAAACTGAAAACACCTTATTTTTGGCAACAACTCAATCCGACTCTGTAATTCACCTTAAACACTCATCGTAACATTCATTCCTTTCAAACTCTCTATTTAGAGTTGGCATTCTATCATTTAGTTAAAGAAGAGAAATCCAAAGATAAACGTAACTTTCTTTTTTAAAGTGGTAACACCTAAATTATAATCAGAGAGGTACGTTATTAACCAAAAATAGTTTCTTCTTTTTTATATACACACACATATATATATATATGTATCTTTCTGTTCCTTTAATCGATGAAGCGCCGCGCACAAACCCAAACGTCTGTCTGGTATCCTTGGAGGATCGATATAAATTTTTTAATTATTGATAAATATAATAAAATGGCAGTGAGTGAATCAATAGATTTTCCATCAGAATCGTCTTTGGTTGAGCATTGCTCCCTCTGTCTTTCGTCTCATCTGCTAAGGTTTCCCCCCCACTGAGAAGTGGATTCGTTCCATAGCGTAAATGTCGATCCCCAAGCCACAGAAGTCGGTCGATGAGAAACAGACGATGATGTGTGAAAGAAGTGGAGAAAATTTTCCAAATACACGAGGATAACTTTTAATAAGAATCTCAAATAACAGGTAAGCCTTTAATATATATTGTGTAACGGACCATTCCCATTCTCTGCCATGTTTTGTTACAGACGACGATTGTTTGACAGGCGATCTTTCTCTTATTCAACCCTCCAGTTTTTAAACTAACAGGGGAAAAAAAATTACGTAAATACATCTCCGTTAAATAAACGATAGCGAAAAATTACTAACGATATTCGTTTAATTATTATTCTGCAAATATTGCTACCATCTCCAAGTTACTTTTTCCTTTTCGCCGGCGAGTATTTTATCTTTTAATATATTTTTCCTGTAATAATTTATATGTCTGGGACGATAGAACGGTGATTTTATGTTACGAAACAAAGCGTGAAACGTGTGACAAGATGTAATTTACGCATAACTGCACTGTATGGATATCGGACCTTCGACGTCTCTTCGGTTACTTTCGATTACTGTGACTGGGATGGTCGACGAACAGGTTTTATTCCCATTTACTCTGTTAATCATGAACGCATTAGCTGCATTTATCGATCAGACTTGGCAAATTAGTCTTTTTGTCAAAAGGTACTTAAATTTGAAGAAAAAGCTTAAAAGCTACACAACATCTAATGCCTTTCACACTAACAAACTTGGCATTACATTTAAGAAAAAGAGGGGGGATTATTCTTTCTTTGCTTACTACACAGATTTTAATTTAAAGTTGCAAAATATAATTAAAATTTTTCTATAAATAATTAAGATAGAGCATACGCGTTTTAAAAGTGTGCATACATTTGATAGATTAAGCGGAGGATCAACCATATGGAAAGGAATTAATAAACGTTAAGTTCCGTATTATAGTTACGAAATTTTCAAATTATCGAGATAAAATTGGTCATTCCTAGCTTAACAAATTGAACCACGCCTTTCTCCCAAGAGTAATTTAGGTTCAAATAGTTTGGATAGTTGCCAGTTCTCTCGACTTGATGATGTTATCAATTGGAATATCGTCGGTCACAAATTTAGATAAACAGGTAAATGTCAACGGAGAAGATCCGAAATAGTTGCTCAAAATTCGATATTATTATTTATTGATTTGTTAATAGCCGGTGGAGGTCACAATGCCAGGGTTGTTCGTGACAACTGACGTCACACGATTTCTTCCGGGAGTCTGACGTCACGTTTCCTCGGTAACAACTTTTGTCTGAATATATTTATAAAGTGAGGAATGTGATATTTGGATAAGAATGATGCGGAGAATAATGTTTGAATAAAGAGGAGTGTCAATAACTTCGATAGATAAACGTGCTTTTTTTCCTCGCGAGCTTGTTTCTTTGCAGGGGAAGAAGGAGGAATCATTAGCATATTTTTGAGGAAATTTTTATTGTATTGGCAGTCTAAATTTGCTACTAAGAATGACTTTTTTATGTGTATTTTCTGCATTTGCAGTTGTACCGGAAGATGACAAACAGAAACGAGTGAAATATGGTGGACAAGGAGACTACTAAGGAAGTGATCATAGCTTTAGAAGACGGAAAAGTAGAATGTGATGAGGATTGTAAACGTAATTTACCTAAACGTTCTTCTTCGTTGCTCAGGCGAGGCGATACCACTCTCAGCATCGACACCACTGGCTTTCAACGTTATTTGCCCTCCTGTATACAGTTTGCTTTTGCAGATCAGGAAGTGGAACAGCTCTATCGTCAGTTCTGTCAGAACGAGAAATGCAGCGAACTCAAGTCATTCCTAATAATTGTTATTGTCGTCGACTTGACTTTATTAACTTTATACGGCCTTTCTTACCAACAGCAGAAACTTCCTCAGTTGATAGTTTTACTTGTCCTCTTCGTCTCGCTAGTGATCTTGTTGATATTAACGTGGAAATGGAGCATACCTCGACTTCTTTGGACTTTTATACCGTATTTAATGTGGCTAGTTCAAGTCGGCCACGTTTTCTGCGACGTTTGGCTTTATCCGTTACCTCGTCTCCCAGTCGATGCCGTTAGTTGGATTGTTTTATATACTTATTCTCTCTATATACTTCTACCCATGCAAATTAGTCTGTGTGTCACGTTGGGAGTATTAATGGCCTTTCTTCATTCGCTACTCATCGCCATATTACCGGAAGATCACAATCATCTAGGATATCAGGTGAGATATTTTTAGTTCCTTTATTTTATTATCTCGTTTACTTTTTGCCATCCTACAAAAAGAAAAGAAAAACGCAATAGAGAACGTCATCCTCACTGAGAATTGCAGTATTGTACTGAATGAAAAGGTCTCAATGGGGGTCATTAGCAACTAGCAATTTTGTCGACTTCCATCCAGACATTACTAAAAACACTTAAGAAAAAGACAATGTCGTAATGTATTCTTATCGCTATGAGGTCTTAATCCTGATTATTCATACGCATCTTTTTAATTCCCAAGTCCGTTTAATTCTGTAAAGTATTTATTTAATAAATTTCCACCAAAAATACACTAAATATTAATGAAAAATGTCATCTAATGAAAGTTTCATTTATAGATTTTTGACCTTTAAATCGATCTTTAATCAATATTAATGACTGACCAATGCAAAATTAATTTAAGTAGTAAAGACACTGTCGATACCAAGAATACTTTTGAGAAATTTCTAATTTGAAACGCTTTTTATTCATAATTATTTTAAAACGAATTTAAAATGTACTTAAATTAATTTAGAACTCTTTCGAAGCGTGTTTTTAACGAATAAAATGGCAAGGAAACGATTTTTAGTCAACTGTTTGATCGTGTGATTGTGTACTATTCGACTAATGATACGATTTCGCTCAGTTATGTAAATGAGTGAATTAACTTACATGAATGTTTAATCGGTTCTAGTAGACTTTTAAGATTACTTTGTGTATCTATCGATTTCACGCTCTAAAAATACCAATAGAGAAACACTCGAAATCATTTCTATCTTGCCATCCCCTCTAAATTTTTTAACTAATTTCCACCACGTTCATACTTAGTTTACACAATCGAGATTTTGTAAAGAAGTAAACTAAGTTTATCGTGTCGAATCGCCATTAATTAAAACTGACATATTTCCTTTTATTCGATCGACCGATTCTTATAAAGATCGATTAAAACGGAATCAGAATTCTATAACCTGTTTTTTTTTTTCCTTCCTCCTTCCTCCTGTTCTTTGCTGGAAAGCGATTATCGCTAGGACGACGATAGCCTGTAATATTACACCAAAATATCAATTTTTTATCAAGACGAAAGCTTTTCTGTTAAATAAGAAAAGTTACCGAAGTATTGCAGCACTCAAATCTTATTTTCAGATCATCGACTTTCACGAAAATCGAAAAATGTCCGATATTAAAATATCAAAAAGTTGAATATAGATACTATTTCCGTCTGTATATATATATTTTGAGGGAGTAAAACTTATTTCTTATATAAAATGTCTAAAATTTGAAGTTTACATCGACGTTCGAGTGGTAAATTACAAAATCACGGTGATGTATAACTGCATGCAAGCAGCCTCCATTATGTAACTACTTTGTAACTCGAAATAAAATCACGGAATTATTTTCGTCCCGGAATTTTATGGAAATTAATTCTGTATTAAACATAAAAAACATGCATTTAAGCATCTAATAAATATTTAATTTTTATTAAACCAAAATTTCATTTAAATATATAAAAAAAAAAAACACTTAAAATCTTAATATTCAGCTTGAACTTTTCTCCATTCTTAAATAATAAAAACGCATTTTAAAAAATTTTAAAATATAATTAAATAACTTAAAGATAAATCAGAAAATTAAATGAAAATTCGCATGTAAAATTTCTAAAATCATTTTGTTAAATTTAATTATAAAACTTATTCTACGAATTTCATTTAATATATATGAATATTTATGATGACTTGTTTACAGATTTTCTTAAAAATTGCACAAGATTAAGACTCCCGGGACACGCTCAATGTTTAAAAGTTGTCCCTCTAAATGCTAAATTTATTTGGAAATTTAAATATAGTTACGGAATAATTAAATGTAAACAGAGTAATTCTTTCAGTAGACCTTTCTTGATTTATTTTCATAAGATTTAAGTTGAAAAATTCCGAAATTCTCTGGACGAAAATAATTTGCCGAGAGCTTCAGAGTGATGAAACTGTTAAGAGTTTATTGCTAATATCGAAGGTGTAAGACATTTATCACATTTATTCTTCTTCGTAAATGAAATTCGTTAAATATTAAAGCTGTTTTGGACTAGAATGTAGCTCATAGAGATAAAGTAACCTTGGGCACAATATTGACGATCGACAATAGTTACAATAACATTGGACAATTTAATAAATCTTTGGATAAACCTATAATGCTAGGATTAAACAGACAAAGCTCTTCACTCCCAAGAGTATTTCTGAATCATACTTTGCTTTAACGTCAACTCGCTTCGTTGTAACTAAATTCAATAAATTCTATAGAATTCTTGCTTGCCAACACGACACGAGTTATGTCAGTTTTATTTATTGGGTTGTCATTTCATCGTAACAACGCCCAAGTAAGAGAAGAGAGAGGTTTACACGAATTTTCCGCCAATAAGAACTGACGTGGCCACCAATTTCGTTCGTCTTTCGTACTTTTTATACATTTATAAATTTCGGCATCGATTTGAAATTTAAAATGCAAATTTTTATTCTTGGTAGTTTTGATAATTCGGAAGTAAAAGATAATATTCATTTGTGTCTTTCATTTAAAAGTATTTATTATGATACGTAATTGTTAAATAGTGCAACAAGAATATTCATAGAAAATATTCTATAATCTTAATCCTTTGACCGAACTAAACCAAATTTTTTCAGGATTACTCTTTAGTATCCTGCGGAAATATAGGTTATTAAGAAACTTGAATACTTCATCTCCTGATTTTATCTTTCCTATTACCTCCTAAAACCTTTGATCGATTCTAACCAAATTTTTTAGAGTTCCTGTCTAGGATCCCGCGGAAAGACTACCATGAATCCTGGATACTCCACTTCTTTTTCATGGTGCCGGGTTTAACTCCTTGACACTCTCCAAAGTGTCAAAGGGTTAGGCCTAATTTATAATAATGTAAATTTAGTACATTATTATATAAATAAGCATTGCATAAAATTAATGAAGGCGCCTCACGTGGTCCATGATTCATGTTCTTATCGATGATTTCAAAGGTACGGGGTCTTCTTAATTGGAACCTCCGCCGAAAACTTTTAATGTAATTTTAAACTTGATATTTGTCCTTATTATTTTTCGCTTAGCGTTTTCTTCTAGTATTTTCTAAAATAAGAAAATTCACCGAAATCATATAGCTATAAAAATTTCTTATTTTAAAATAGATCACAGTTCTTCCGAGAAAACATTTCTATTGAATATTTAATGCATTCTGGTCTCATCTTATGTTCTACCAGATAAAAGTTTGACCAGTTTTATCCTCTGATTCTTCTATTTATTTCCACTGCAATGAAACTTATTTTTTCCAGTAAAATGGATTAAGAATGAATTATTCAAGGCCGTGTTACGACAATTTTGTTTTCCCCCAAATTACGTCAATATTAAAACATATTTCTTTTTTAAAATATTTTAAAAATTAAAACAATGATATTTACTAAATTTATGAAGTTTTCTACTCCATTTTTATTTTTAAAGAATTATTGAAGACGTGTTTGCCGGAATCCTACTTCAGTGGATTTATGAGGATTTAATGTTTTTTCACGCTCTCTTTATTTTGTTTTCGCCTGTAAAGTAGTTTTGAAAGATGCAGTTTGGAAAAGAAAAAAAAAGCATTATAAAATATATGAAAATTTTACTTGGGATACAAATTTATATTACTTAATTACGGAGTTTTTAATCGATAATCTCTTATAATTCTTTCCAATTTCTTCCTTTATACATCAATTAAATCCCCGAAAAACGACGATAAAATAAAAAAAAAGAATGCTATTTAATATGACAAAACACTTAAATTTAAGCAGCAGAATGTGAAATTCTGCATTAGGATACTTCTCAACGTACTGATCATTTTAAATTAACGATGTAACTTATCATTTTATATTTTATGTAATCGTGTGAAAATGTAATTTTTCCTTATTTATTTCCTTCGTATATATTTAAATTCCATGCTTAATTACTAACACATCAATTAAGAACATACTTTAAATTAATATTTGCGAAATATTTAATAAATTAAGGAAAAAATTTAAATTTGGTTTCTCTATTTTCGATCCGAAAAAAATTCGTCGCGATGGAAAAATTTAATAAAAGTATTTTTTTTGAATTGCTTATTTATTTTTTAAACAAGATATTTGAGGAATCTTTAATACTTTTCGAGAGATGGTACAATATAGATTATATTATCTCAACAGCTGGAAGGATTTACCAGCTTAGACTATAACAAATGCCTTTTTATGACCCGAGTTTGAACGTTATATCGAGTTGAAATTTCATATAACGATCGTGAAACAGTGAAACCATTACTCCTCTTTACAATATTAATTTATCTAGATTAAACTCTTATTTTAAAATTAATATTTAGAATTATATACATCCTATTGTTCGTCATCCAATAAATATATAAATTGAAAGCTTCGATCAAAGATGGTGAATGATTCAACGTTTATTTGAATCAAAGTCAATTAAATAATTATAAAAACTGTAAATATAATTATTTGAATTCAGTGAGATTAAAATCTCAATATACAGCAGGCCCTCGATTTAACGGAGTAATTGGGAAGGGGAATGCTATTGACGAAAGTTCATTAAATCGAGTGTATTTTAAATTTATAATGTATAGGATTTATTAAAATCTTATTTTAATGTATTATTATAATGTACTGTACATTAAGTAATTTATATTGGTTGATTCAATTGTATTTGTTGATTTTCTTAACATAAACGTGTAGAATAGTATAAATTTCTTATTAAATTGAGGAAAATATTGATATATCCCATGCCTTTTGATATTATATATTGATGTACAAAGTCCATTTGAATGTTGAGTTGTACCGTGCATAATACATATAAATTGTTTTCAAAATTACATTTTTTAAAAATCTAAACAAAATATCATTTTTGTTTTCAATTGGGATGGCACGAAACAGGTATTACATTCGAACCTACGGATAGAATTTGACAGGATCAATCTCCAGATTCGCATCGTTGAATAGAAAATATTTTCAAAAATTTGATTTTAAACTGATATTTACAGAAGAACCTAAAATTTTGACTGGAATTGTCAGAAAATCCTCTTCAAATGCGAGTCCTGGATGAAGTTGACAGAAAACCTCTTTAGATTGAAACCTTTTATACTTTCAATATGAAGGGAGGGAGGGAAAAATCCAATTGAATTCGAACCTTAAGAGGGTTTCTAGTTCTCTCGAGCAAAATCGATAATAAACTATTATCTTTCATATAACAATAATAGCTTACAGAGTAACCTCTACAAACAAAGCAATTCGAACGATAATTACAAATTATTGATCAAACTAAAAGGCATCGGAGATTTTAAAATTCTTGATGAACTCCTGACCTTTAAAATCAGTAAATTAAGCGATAGAAGGGAATGGCGTAACTTTTTATATATTTATTAAATTTTTTTTTTTTACTATTCAGTTCGGTGCAAATGTATGTCTTTACGTGTGTACTAATCTTCTCGGAGCTATGACTTACTTCTTCATGGAACGGCAACAGAGGAAAGCTTTTCTAGAAACTCGTCAGAGTCTAGAAGCTAAATTAATCTTAGAAGAGGAATCTCAGGAACAGGTAATGTTTCTTTTCTCTTTTATTTATCGAGTTATGAGCTAACTAAAGTAAAACTGAAGTCAGACTGCCGCCTGTATAACAATTGTCTGTCCTCATACATTCTGCCGGAATCCACCATCGTTAATCTCTAGACTCTGCAAAGAATGACAGAAGTCGAACATCTTCCACCTTTGAACCTTATTCCACTGATAAATATTCTGCCATCTGTTAGGAAAGAGCGATAAAGGACGTAGTCGAGTCTGGTATTTGCGATAATTAATTCAAGTTTGCTTGGATTTTAATATAAAAATTCAATTTAAAAAAAATGTAAATAATCATTAAAATGTTTTCGAAAAGTTCATAAGTCATTATATATATATATATTTTTTTTAATAGTTAAAAAAATAGGTTAGCTTCTTAAATAAATTTTAATGCAATTTTTATCAAAACTGTGCCAAATTTTAGGGGATTTTTTTTTTAATATTCTTTTGAAGGAAACTGATATCGGATTGAGCCAAAAAATTTTAAGTATTATTTACAGAAATTTAATGGTCGTAATAAATACTGTATTTTTAATGGTAAAAATTATTTTAAAATAATCTTTTTTAAGGATTTAATAAAACGAGATTAAATGCGCGTGTAAGATAGATTCGAAGAAATAAAATTTTCTCATTAACAGTGGTGAAGACATCTTAACCTTTAAACACAAGAAGCATTCCTTCTGCTTACGTTTCGAAAATGGGGATTTTCTTATCGTTTGCCATTTTCTATTTTCTTATAAATGCACGCTTTGATTTATTATCAAAATTCATAGAAATGCCCAGAAAAGACGTCGAATCGTTATTATCCGAATGACATCAATAATATTTTAAAAATTTTATTTTATATTTTTGTCCACCGAAAGTAGGTTACATCCGAAAGAAATTTTCCACAATGGATAATTAGCGTGTGCGGTTACGGACGGATAGATAATTAATTGCTATTTATTTTTATTTTTCCTTGTAAAAAAAAATAAAGAAGTATTTTTCTTTATTTTAGTTATACGTAAGGTTTCTTTATAGGAAAGACTGCTGTTATCGGTTCTACCGAAACACGTGGCTGCAGAAATCAGACAAGACTTGGGAGCCGTGGTAACGGGACAGTTTAAAAAAATTTACATGTGCAGACACGAAAATGTCAGGTTAGTGTGATTTAATTCCATGCTTTTCTTAATTATAAAACATCCCGCACGTTCCCAGTTTTTATTAAAGATTAGTCGAAGAAGAAAAATGCATTTCTTTTATTTTTCTAAAATCATTTTTCTTGCAACCAATTACGGTTTATCGATTCCTTCAGACTTATTATCTTGCGCTGTAATTTTACAACTACTTTTGTTATCTAGTTACAGTCCGTTCGTTTTATTAATATTAGTTTATAGAGTATTATCTTTCCGTTAAATAAGATGAAAAAGTCTTTATTCCAGTTAATTTTTCTTCCCTTTGCATTCGAAAGATTGCAAGAAATCAGCTTGATTTCGTTAACTCGAGGTTCGATTTCGGAGGAGATAAACGGAATAATATGCAAATTTTTATCGATTTTCGTTTAAATCTTTATTTATAAAAATGCATTTTTATTGTATGAATAAAGATTTTTAATGTCGTACTCTATCAACTGGCAACGGCATGTTTTTTTTTCCGTGATTTTTTTTCACCTAAGGTGACGTTTTAACTATTTTTCACCATGGAAAATTCCCTGGAGGATCTGTTTTTTTTTTAGTTTAAGTATCATTTATCGTGGCCATTGCAGGTTTACTTACCGAGAATATTTTAATGTTTAACATATTTTCCACGGAATAAATAAAATTCATCTGTAAATGCATTTTATTTATATTTTTTCCGCCTCTTCCGAGTATCCAGATAACGAGGAGTCGTTGGTTAAATTCATTATCTTCGGTGTTAAATAATAAATGGATCTTTCTAATCATCTCTTTTACTTACATAAAGCGGAAATACATTAATCAGCTTATCTAAACTATTATATATTTAAAATTTTAATATTTAAACGTCAATAAATTACCTTACGCGTCATATAAAAAAAAACTCTCTTTTTACACTTTCAGAATCCCATTTTCTCTTTTTTCTCCCTTTCATTCTGTAATTCAAAAATACTTAAACCCAAAATCTCTATAATCTTTTTACATTTATGAAATGTAGTTTTTTTATATTATATATATATACTTTTTTTTTCAACGTCTACGTATCATTTTTAAAGAGATAGGCCTAAGGGATGATCGTGCGAAGTGATATATTTGATAAGAATTATAGAAAGTCATTCTATTGTCTGCTGTGAAACGACGCCATATAAAAAGTTGTCCGCCGATAATGGAATTATATCTATTTTCTGAGCTTCTAAAAAGTTAGAAAAATACATTTAAAAAAATTTGACATTTATAATATTTTGTTAGAAGACTTATAAATACAGTCAAACCTCTGAACAATGGTCACTACTCGGAGAATAAAAGCAAAAAAAAAAAAGATGGCCGTCATTCGGAAGTGGCCGCTGTTCGGAGGTTTTGTATGCATTTTTGGAGGTGGCCTTTATTGGAGATTCGACTGTACGATATATTCTATTAAATATTCTAAAATTTTCGACATTACGGATCAGAATGATTCGATTTTTCGAGTTTATTTATTTATTTTTTTAAAATAAACTTCATTATATTATTAGGCCGAATCTTCGCCGTCACATTTAAGATAACGTAACGCACGTAAGCGTAACATACCTTAACGTTGGAGATAAGATTAACGTTTAGCATTGTAATAACTAATTTAGGAAATAGGCACAAACATTAATGCGAAATGGAGATTGAGTTTTACTATTAATTGAAGCTGTTTGACATTTATTATTAACAAAGAAATTGCGGAAACGAATAAATTCATTTTTGAAGAATGTGGTGAAAATGATCAGATATTAATTTAATCGGTTTAATCGAACAATGACGTACCTCGGGTTATAAATTTTCATGACGAAGCTCTACTTATAAAATCGTATCCTGTCTTGATAATCGGAAACGTTATATTCTTCATCGTAGAACCGATTAAATTAATATCCGATGATAATTTTTGCAATATTCATTAATAAATTAATAAATTTATTCGAATTATCAAGCAGTTCTGGATAAATTTATTATTATTGATTCTACAACATAGACTTAATAAATATTTAAATATTGAATAGTGAGATGGGAGATGGATTCGTATAGTAAATATCTTTATAATGCTGTAGATCTATCCATGTTAAAATAACGAGCATAAATTAATGACTCGATCGCTAACAGTAAAAGTATGATATTCAGGGGCAAGACCACCACTAAAAGAATTGAGATCATTGTGACGAAAAGTTGCATTCCGGCATTGTGACGATGTCACAATAAATTATCACTCGTTAGAATTAGTTCGGTTTATTTAGTTACGGCAACGCGATACGTGAGCGGTCTGCCGAGGGGATACATTCCACGAAGACTTTTATGGGAAGCTGGACCCTATTTAGATGTTACTAACGTAAAGAAAACCCGGAAAACTGCAAATGTTCAACCCGTTGATCATGCCCGAACAAACGATTAACTAACTACCAGAGTTCGGTGGTTTTACGCACTCGGCTACTGGAGGGTGGGAGGTGGTTTTATGCACTTATTAGAATTAAGAGTGTACCATTCAGAAATGAAAAAAATCCGAGTTGTTAGAAGTGGAAAATTAAATACTTGTAGACTTACTCTAGACTTTTCACAGGATAACACTTTCAATTTCACGCAGGCAAGTGCTATATGCTACTTATCGCAGTAATGATTATATTCTTTTTTGTAAGAATTATATTTAGTTTATGATTTTTTTCATTTTTGCCAATAGATGGCGCTACGGGTAAATCAGCAAATCGAATGTAGATAATATTAATTGATTTAAAAAAATCGAATCGATATTTTGGGATTGGGTGTACGACATTATCTAAATTAGAAGTGTATGAACGTACATGTACTGCAAAGTTTCGTAGCAATTGGTAGAACGGCCTAGGAGTGTATAGCGAACAAACAAACAAACACACATCCTCAGTTTTATATATATATATATAAATTCACATGACTGGTATGTAGGCTTGTAAGAACAAATTCGTATGCCACTAAAACCATTAAAATGTACGTAGACGATGCCTCGACCCCTCGCTCCCCATTGTGTACAATGATATACTCTTCTCAATCCTCCTTCCCTTTAAACTATACATGTAATTAATGGACGACAGTTTTCTGGAGGAAATTATAAACAATAGTGAGGGCCCGGGAGATAAGGAGGAGACAATACTAAGGAGGGGACCCGGGCCACTTTAGCTTTATAAAATCAAATAAGTATAGGAAGATGATTTGAATGTGACAAACACGTATGTACAGTACAATATTTAAGAGTTTATTTTATCCACAGTTATACACGGGTGTAAGTTTGCACGCTTTAATTCGGGGCTCCCCTCTTAAATCAGTTCTAGTTACGCTGCTGTTTATGGAGAAATGAAACTAAAATACTGTAAACATCCTTAATCATTTTCTTAAGAGAGAAACGAAAAATTTTCGTTCTTACATTCATTCAAAAGTTTTCATTTAATATAAGAATTTCCTCTTTACTTATTCATTTCTTCGTCAAATCATTTATAAACTTTTTATTTGTAACAGACAGTAGTGTATTTAAGATCCGGAATCGTTATTCGTATATTACATTTCGTTAATAAACGTAGTATTTAATGGAAGAAAGGTCCCGTAGTCTATTTAATTGTTGATAGCCTCACGCAACCGGGATGATGATCAAATAATTCAGCCATAATACTCCAGAATTAATATATTATTCCCGTAATATCGATTGAGGATGGTGCAGTTCAGTCCATCTGTAGATATATTTAGGAAGCGTGTACACTCCTTTAATCATACGATTTAATGTACATCCACTCCAAGCGTTTATTTAATTTTAACTCCTAAGTAGAATTTATTGTGGAGAAAGGGATTCGATTACCCACCACATATATATTACTCACACCATTGTAAATATTAAAAATAAATATTAAATATACATAAACATTGACTGGGGATTAAATATTATATTAGTGTATAATTGATATTTTTGGCACGATTATTGCCCGTTAGCATTACAAATGCAAGAGTTTTTGCTCATTTTCTCCAGTGAGGAAACGATAATTTAGAAAATAATCATCTAATAAATGTACAGAATGATTTAAGTAATGATGATTGAAGCATTTAAACATTAAAACTATCGAGTGATTAATAAGGGAAAATTGAATTCTGTTATCAGAAAAATGTAATTAAATAAAGCATATTTATTATTAAATCACTAACATAATAAATGCACGGATAATGATTTCCATACTTAAAAATTAAACATTTATCTCCATCTTCCGTTTGTATAAATAATTCAGTTATATGTTATTTAAGCTAATTTGTTCAATTATTATACACGTTAAATGAGTATTTAATACTTAATTTTACATTATTAAATACGTTGTGTATAAAATTCGGCACGGCTATTAATTTTTTTTCTTTCTCAAGGAACTTATCCTATTACAGTTTCCCTATTTAGAAATGCTTTACGCCTCATCAACGAGGCATGACTCGAAGTTTAGATAAAATAATCTTCTAAACGTGAACCGAATTCTCTTGTTTTTTTGAATTAAATGTGCTGTGACTTTAAAAAAAAGCCTTCCTCTTCCAGCAAAATATATAATGTTTAACTCGGTGCGTTACTAAACAGAATAAATTTGTCGGTAGAAGGTCAAACCCTGCATTAAAACCAAGGAATAAAGTACTGCAGCCGAGATAAAACTTCAAATTAATTATATATATATTTTAAAATATACGACAATCGGAAAGTTGTATTTAAAAAATATAACCGTAATAAATTAATTTAATTGGTTAACTTTGGTGTATCTTACCTCAGTTTTTTGCTTAAATTTAAAAAATATTGAGTCATGAAAAATTGCATAATTTGCATAGAAATGTATTAGATTTATTAAAATGAAATTTTAAAAGTGATTCTATGATATTAATTTACTGGAAAGTACTTTATACGACGTACTGTACGTTAAAGTAATAATAAGACTTAAAATAGATGATTTAATATGAAGTACTTTTAAAATAAAATAATAAAAAAATATATTTGAAACTGTGTATAAAAAAATAAGATAGTTTTATNTTTAGAGTTGGCATTCTATCATTTAGTTAAAGAAGAGAAATCCAAAGATAAACGTAACTTTCTTTTTTAAAGTGGTAACACCTAAATTATAATCAGAGAGGTACGTTATTAACCAAAAATAGTTTCTTCTTTTTTATATACACACATATATATATATATATGTATCTTTCTGTTCCTTTAATCGATGAAGCGCCGCGCACAAACCCAAACGTCTGTCTGGTATCCTTGGAGGATCGATATAAATTTTTTAATTATTGATAAATATAATAAAATGGCAGTGAGTGAATCAATAGATTTTCCATCAGAATCGTCTTTGGTTGAGCATTGCTCCCTCTGTCTTTCGTCTCATCTGCTAAGGTTTCCCCCCCACTGAGAAGTGGATTCGTTCCATAGCGTAAATGTCGATCCCCAAGCCACAGAAGTCGGTCGATGAGAAACAGACGATGATGTGTGAAAGAAGTGGAGAAAATTTTCCAAATACACGAGGATAACTTTTAATAAGAATCTCAAATAACAGGTAAGCCTTTAATATATATTGTGTAACGGACCATTCCCATTCTCTGCCATGTTTTGTTACAGACGACGATTGTTTGACAGGCGATCTTTCTCTTATTCAACCCTCCAGTTTTTAAACTAACAGGGGAAAAAAAATTACGTAAATACATCTCCGTTAAATAAACGATAGCGAAAAATTACTAACGATATTCGTTTAATTATTATTCTGCAAATATTGCTACCATCTCCAAGTTACTTTTTCCTTTTCGCCGGCGAGTATTTTATCTTTTAATATATTTTTCCTGTAATAATTTATATGTCTGGGACGATAGAACGGTGATTTTATGTTACGAAACAAAGCGTGAAACGTGTGACAAGATGTAATTTACGCATAACTGCACTGTATGGATATCGGACCTTCGACGTCTCTTCGGTTACTTTCGATTACTGTGACTGGGATGGTCGACGAACAGGTTTTATTCCCATTTACTCTGTTAATCATGAACGCATTAGCTGCATTTATCGATCAGACTTGGCAAATTAGTCTTTTTGTCAAAAGGTACTTAAATTTGAAGAAAAAGCTTAAAAGCTACACAACATCTAATGCCTTTCACACTAACAAACTTGGCATTACATTTAAGAAAAAGAGGGGGGATTATTCTTTCTTTGCTTACTACACAGATTTTAATTTAAAGTTGCAAAATATAATTAAAATTTTTCTATAAATAATTAAGATAGAGCATACGCGTTTTAAAAGTGTGCATACATTTGATAGATTAAGCGGAGGATCAACCATATGGAAAGGAATTAATAAACGTTAAGTTCCGTATTATAGTTACGAAATTTTCAAATTATCGAGATAAAATTGGTCATTCCTAGCTTAACAAATTGAACCACGCCTTTCTCCCAAGAGTAATTTAGGTTCAAATAGTTTGGATAGTTGCCAGTTCTCTCGACTTGATGATGTTATCAATTGGAATATCGTCGGTCACAAATTTAGATAAACAGGTAAATGTCAACGGAGAAGATCCGAAATAGTTGCTCAAAATTCGATATTATTATTTATTGATTTGTTAATAGCCGGTGGAGGTCACAATGCCAGGGTTGTTCGTGACAACTGACGTCACACGATTTCTTCCGGGAGTCTGACGTCACGTTTCCTCGGTAACAACTTTTGTCTGAATATATTTATAAAGTGAGGAATGTGATATTTGGATAAGAATGATGCGGAGAATAATGTTTGAATAAAGAGGAGTGTCAATAACTTCGATAGATAAACGTGCTTTTTTTCCTCGCGAGCTTGTTTCTTTGCAGGGGAAGAAGGAGGAATCATTAGCATATTTTTGAGGAAATTTTTATTGTATTGGCAGTCTAAATTTGCTACTAAGAATGACTTTTTTATGTGTATTTTCTGCATTTGCAGTTGTACCGGAAGATGACAAACAGAAACGAGTGAAATATGGTGGACAAGGAGACTACTAAGGAAGTGATCATAGCTTTAGAAGACGGAAAAGTAGAATGTGATGAGGATTGTAAACGTAATTTACCTAAACGTTCTTCTTCGTTGCTCAGGCGAGGCGATACCACTCTCAGCATCGACACCACTGGCTTTCAACGTTATTTGCCCTCCTGTATACAGTTTGCTTTTGCAGATCAGGAAGTGGAACAGCTCTATCGTCAGTTCTGTCAGAACGAGAAATGCAGCGAACTCAAGTCATTCCTAATAATTGTTATTGTCGTCGACTTGACTTTATTAACTTTATACGGCCTTTCTTACCAACAGCAGAAACTTCCTCAGTTGATAGTTTTACTTGTCCTCTTCGTCTCGCTAGTGATCTTGTTGATATTAACGTGGAAATGGAGCATACCTCGACTTCTTTGGACTTTTATACCGTATTTAATGTGGCTAGTTCAAGTCGGCCACGTTTTCTGCGACGTTTGGCTTTATCCGTTACCTCGTCTCCCAGTCGATGCCGTTAGTTGGATTGTTTTATATACTTATTCTCTCTATATACTTCTACCCATGCAAATTAGTCTGTGTGTCACGTTGGGAGTATTAATGGCCTTTCTTCATTCGCTACTCATCGCCATATTACCGGAAGATCACAATCATCTAGGATATCAGGTGAGATATTTTTAGTTCCTTTATTTTATTATCTCGTTTACTTTTTGCCATCCTACAAAAAGAAAAGAAAAACGCAATAGAGAACGTCATCCTCACTGAGAATTGCAGTATTGTACTGAATGAAAAGGTCTCAATGGGGGTCATTAGCAACTAGCAATTTTGTCGACTTCCATCCAGACATTACTAAAAACACTTAAGAAAAAGACAATGTCGTAATGTATTCTTATCGCTATGAGGTCTTAATCCTGATTATTCATACGCATCTTTTTAATTCCCAAGTCCGTTTAATTCTGTAAAGTATTTATTTAATAAATTTCCACCAAAAATACACTAAATATTAATGAAAAATGTCATCTAATGAAAGTTTCATTTATAGATTTTTGACCTTTAAATCGATCTTTAATCAATATTAATGACTGACCAATGCAAAATTAATTTAAGTAGTAAAGACACTGTCGATACCAAGAATACTTTTGAGAAATTTCTAATTTGAAACGCTTTTTATTCATAATTATTTTAAAACGAATTTAAAATGTACTTAAATTAATTTAGAACTCTTTCGAAGCGTGTTTTTAACGAATAAAATGGCAAGGAAACGATTTTTAGTCAACTGTTTGATCGTGTGATTGTGTACTATTCGACTAATGATACGATTTCGCTCAGTTATGTAAATGAGTGAATTAACTTACATGAATGTTTAATCGGTTCTAGTAGACCTTTAAGATTACTTTGTGTATCTATCGATTTCACGCTCTAAAAATACCAATAGAGAAACACTCGAAATCATTTCTATCTTGCCATCCCCTCTAAATTTTTTAACTAATTTCCACCACGTTCATACTTAGTTTACACAATCGAGATTTTGTAAAGAAGTAAACTAAGTTTATCGTGTCGAATCGCCATTAATTAAAACTGACATATTTCCTTTTATTCGATCGACCGATTCTTATAAAGATCGATTAAAACGGAATCAGAATTCTATAACCTGTTTTTTTTTTTCCTTCCTCCTTCCTCCTGTTCTTTGCTGGAAAGCGATTATCGCTAGGACGACGATAGCCTGTAATATTACACCAAAATATCAATTTTTTATCAAGACGAAAGCTTTTCTGTTAAATAAGAAAAGTTACCGAAGTATTGCAGCACTCAAATCTTATTTTCAGATCATCGACTTTCACGAAAATCGAAAAATGTCCGATATTAAAATATCAAAAAGTTGAATATAGATACTATTTCCGTCTGTATATATATATTTTGAGGGAGTAAAACTTATTTCTTATATAAAATGTCTAAAATTTGAAGTTTACATCGACGTTCGAGTGGTAAATTACAAAATCACGGTGATGTATAACTGCATGCAAGCAGCCTCCATTATGTAACTACTTTGTAACTCGAAATAAAATCACGGAATTATTTTCGTCCCGGAATTTTATGGAAATTAATTCTGTATTAAACATAAAAAACATGCATTTAAGCATCTAATAAATATTTAATTTTTATTAAACCAAAATTTCATTTAAATATATAAAAAAAAAAACACTTAAAATCTTAATATTCAGCTTGAACTTTTCTCCATTCTTAAATAATAAAAACGCATTTTAAAAAATTTTAAAATATAATTAAATAACTTAAAGATAAATCAGAAAATTAAATGAAAATTCGCATGTAAAATTTCTAAAATCATTTTGTTAAATTTAATTATAAAACTTATTCTACGAATTTCATTTAATATATATGAATATTTATGATGACTTGTTTACAGATTTTCTTAAAAATTGCACAAGATTAAGACTCCCGGGACACGCTCAATGTTTAAAAGTTGTCCCTCTAAATGCTAAATTTATTTGGAAATTTAAATATAGTTACGGAATAATTAAATGTAAACAGAGTAATTCTTTCAGTAGACCTTTCTTGATTTATTTTCATAAGATTTAAGTTGAAAAATTCCGAAATTCTCTGGACGAAAATAATTTGCCGAGAGCTTCAGAGTGATGAAACTGTTAAGAGTTTATTGCTAATATCGAAGGTGTAAGACATTTATCACATTTATTCTTCTTCGTAAATGAAATTCGTTAAATATTAAAGCTGTTTTGGACTAGAATGTAGCTCATAGAGATAAAGTAACCTTGGGCACAATATTGACGATCGACAATAGTTACAATAACATTGGACAATTTAATAAATCTTTGGATAAACCTATAATGCTAGGATTAAACAGACAAAGCTCTTCACTCCCAAGAGTATTTCTGAATCATACTTTGCTTTAACGTCAACTCGCTTCGTTGTAACTAAATTCAATAAATTCTATAGAATTCTTGCTTGCCAACACGACACGAGTTATGTCAGTTTTATTTATTGGGTTGTCATTTCATCGTAACAACGCCCAAGTAAGAGAAGAGAGAGGTTTACACGAATTTTCCGCCAATAAGAACTGACGTGGCCACCAATTTCGTTCGTCTTTCGTACTTTTTATACATTTATAAATTTCGGCATCGATTTGAAATTTAAAATGCAAATTTTTATTCTTGGTAGTTTTGATAATTCGGAAGTAAAAGATAATATTCATTTGTGTCTTTCATTTAAAAGTATTTATTATGATACGTAATTGTTAAATAGTGCAACAAGAATATTCATAGAAAATATTCTATAATCTTAATCCTTTGACCGAACTAAACCAAATTTTTTCAGGATTACTCTTTAGTATCCTGCGGAAATATAGGTTATTAAGAAACTTGAATACTTCATCTCCTGATTTTATCTTTCCTATTACCTCCTAAAACCTTTGATCGATTCTAACCAAATTTTTTAGAGTTCCTGTCTAGGATCCCGCGGAAAGACTACCATGAATCCTGGATACTCCACTTCTTTTTCATGGTGCCGGGTTTAACTCCTTGACACTCTCCAAAGTGTCAAAGGGTTAGGCCTAATTTATAATAATGTAAATTTAGTACATTATTATATAAATAAGCATTGCATAAAATTAATGAAGGCGCCTCACGTGGTCCATGATTCATGTTCTTATCGATGATTTCAAAGGTACGGGGTCTTCTTAATTGGAACCTCCGCCGAAAACTTTTAATGTAATTTTAAACTTGATATTTGTCCTTATTATTTTTCGCTTAGCGTTTTCTTCTAGTATTTTCTAAAATAAGAAAATTCACCGAAATCATATAGCTATAAAAATTTCTTATTTTAAAATAGATCACAGTTCTTCCGAGAAAACATTTCTATTGAATATTTAATGCATTCTGGTCTCATCTTATGTTCTACCAGATAAAAGTTTGACCAGTTTTATCCTCTGATTCTTCTATTTATTTCCACTGCAATGAAACTTATTTTTTCCAGTAAAATGGATTAAGAATGAATTATTCAAGGCCGTGTTACGACAATTTTGTTTTCCCCCAAATTACGTCAATATTAAAACATATTTCTTTTTTAAAATATTTTAAAAATTAAAACAATGATATTTACTAAATTTATGAAGTTTTCTACTCCATTTTTATTTTTAAAGAATTATTGAAGACGTGTTTGCCGGAATCCTACTTCAGTGGATTTATGAGGATTTAATGTTTCTTCACGCTCTCTTTATTTTGTTTTCGCCTGTAAAGTAGTTTTGAAAGATGCAGTTTGGAAAAGAAAAAAAAAGCATTATAAAATATATGAAAATTTTACTTGGGATACAAATTTATATTACTTAATTACGGAGTTTTTAATCGATAATCTCTTATAATTCTTTCCAATTTCTTCCTTTATACATCAATTAAATCCCCGAAAAACGACGATAAAATAAAAAAAAGAATGCTAATTAATATGACAAAACACTTAAATTTAAGCAGCAGAATGTGAAATTCTGCATTAGGATACTTCTCAACGTACTGATCATTTTAAATTAACGATGTAACTTATCATTTTATATTTTATGTAATCGTGTGAAAATGTAATTTTTCCTTATTTATTTCCTTCGTATATATTTAAATTCCATGCTTAATTACTAACACATCAATTAAGAACATACTTTAAATTAATATTTGCGAAATATTTAATAAATTAAGGAAAAAATTTAAATTTGGTTTCTCTATTTTCGATCCGAAAAAAATTCGTCGCGATGGAAAAATTTAATAAAAGTATTTTTTTTGAATTGCTTATTTATTTTTTAAACAAGATATTTGAGGAATCTTTAATACTTTTCGAGAGATGGTACAATATAGATTATATTATCTCAACAGCTGGAAGGATTTACCAGCTTAGACTATAACAAATGCCTTTTTATGACCCGAGTTTGAACGTTATATCGAGTTGAAATTTCATATAACGATCGTGAAACAGTGAAACCATTACTCCTCTTTACAATATTAATTTATCTAGATTAAACTCTTATTTTAAAATTAATATTTAGAATTATATACATCCTATTGTTCGTCATCCAATAAATATATAAATTGAAAGCTTCGATCAAAGATGGTGAATGATTCAACGTTTATTTGAATCAAAGTCAATTAAATAATTATAAAAACTGTAAATATAATTATTTGAATTCAGTGAGATTAAAATCTCAATATACAGCAGGCCCTCGATTTAACGGAGTAATTGGGAAGGGGAATGCTATTGACGAAAGTTCATTAAATCGAGTGTATTTTAAATTTATAATGTATAGGATTTATTAAAATCTTATTTTAATGTATTATTATAATGTACTGTACATTAAGTAATTTATATTGGTTGATTCAATTGTATTTGTTGATTTTCTTAACATAAACGTGTAGAATAGTATAAATTTCTTATTAAATTGAGAAAAATATTGATATATTCCATGCCTTTTGATATTATATATTGATGTACAAAGTCCATTTGAATGTTGAGTTGTACCGTGCATAATACATATAAATTGTTTTCAAAATTACATTTTTTAAAAATCTAAACAAAATATCATTTTTGTTTTCAATTGGGATGGCACGAAACAGGTATTACATTCGAACCTACGGATAGAATTTGACAGGATCAATCTCCAGATTCGCATCGTTGAATAGAAAATATTTTCAAAAATTTGATTTTAAACTGATATTTACAGAAGAACCTAAAATTTTGACTGGAATTGTCAGAAAATCCTCTTCAAATGCGAGTCCTGGATGAAGTTGACAGAAAACCTCTTTAGATTGAAACCTTTTATACTTTCAATATGAAGGGAGGGAGGGAAAAATCCAATTGAATTCGAACCTTAAGAGGGTTTCTAGTTCTCTCGAGCAAAATCGATAATAAACTATTATCTTTCATATAACAATAATAGCTTACAGAGTAACCTCTACAAACAAAGCAATTCGAACGATAATTACAAATTATTGATCAAACTAAAAGGCATCGGAGATTTTAAAATTCTTGATGAACTCCTGACCTTTAAAATCAGTAAATTAAGCGATAGAAGGGAATGGCGTAACTTTTTATATATTTATTAAATTTTTTTTTTTTACTTTTCAGTTCGGTGCAAATGTATGTCTTTACGTGTGTACTAATCTTCTCGGAGCTATGACTTACTTCTTCATGGAACGGCAACAGAGGAAAGCTTTTCTAGAAACTCGTCAGAGTCTAGAAGCTAAATTAATCTTAGAAGAGGAATCTCAGGAACAGGTAATGTTTCTTTTCTCTTTTATTTATCGAGTTATGAGCTAACTAAAGTAAAACTGAAGTCAGACTGCCGCCTGTATAACAATTGTCTGTCCTCATACATTCTGCCGGAATCCACCATCGTTAATCTCTAGACTCTGCAAAGAATGACAGAAGTCGAACATCTTCCACCTTTGAACCTTATTCCACTGATAAATATTCTGCCATCTGTTAGGAAAGAGCGATAAAGGACGTAGTCGAGTCTGGTATTTGCGATAATTAATTCAAGTTTGCTTGGATTTTAATATAAAAATTCAATTTAAAAAAAATGTAAATAATCATTAAAATGTTTTCGAAAAGTTCATAAGTCATTATATATATATATTTTTTTTTAATAGTTATTCACTACTTTTTGCTTTCTTTCCTTCACTTCTACCAGCACTTTCACTGGATAGAGGTCACTTGGTAAAGTATCTATCCAAAGAGGTTTGGCTTTGCTTACTTTTTAAAATGTTTCTAAAATGACTTAGGCAAATGTCATTACTCTGAGCAGCAATACAGNCGCTGCTGTTTATGGAGAAATGAAACTAAAATACTGTAAACATCCTTAATCATTTTCTTAAGAGAGAAACGAAAAATTTTCGTTCTTACATTCATTCAAAAGTTTTCATTTAATATAAGAATTTCCTCTTTACTTATTCATTTCTTCGTCAAATCATTTATAAACTTTTTATTTGTAACAGACAGTAGTGTATTTAAGATCCGGAATCGTTATTCGTATATTACATTTCGTTAATAAACGTAGTATTTAATGGAAGAAAGGTCCCGTAGTCTATTTAATTGTTGATAGCCTCACGCAACCGGGATGATGATCAAATAATTCAGCCATAATACTCCAGAATTAATATATTATTCCCGTAATATCGATTGAGGATGGTGCAGTTCAGTCCATCTGTAGATATATTTAGGAAGCGTGTACACTCCTTTAATCATACGATTTAATGTACATGCACTCCAAGCGTTTATTTAATTTTAACTCCTAAGTAGAATTTATTGTGGAGAAAGGGATTCGATTACCCACCACATATATATTACTCACACCATTGTAAATATTAAAAATAAATATTAAATATACATAAACATTGACTGGGGATTAAATATTATATTAGTGTATAATTGATATTTTTGGCACGATTATTGCCCGTTAGCATTACAAATGCAAGAGTTTTTGCTCATTTTCTCCAGTGAGGAAACGATAATTTAGAAAATAATCATCTAATAAATGTACAGAATGATTTAAGTAATGATGATTGAAGCATTTAAACATTAAAACTATCGAGTGATTAATAAGGGAAAATTGAATTCTGTTATCAGAAAAATGTAATTAAATAAAGCATATTTATTATTAAATCACTAACATAATAAATGCACGGATAATGATTTCCATACTTAAAAATTAAACATTTATCTCCATCTTCCGTTTGTATAAATAATTCAGTTATATGTTATTTAAGCTAATTTGTTCAATTATTATACACGTTAAATGAGTATTTAATACTTAATTTTACATTATTAAATACGTTGTGTATAAAATTCGGCACGGCTATTAATTTTTTTTCTTTCTCAAGGAACTTATCCTATTACAGTTTCCCTATTTAGAAATGCTTTACGCCTCATCAACGAGGCATGACTCGAAGTTTAGATAAAATAATCTTCTAAACGTGAACCGAATTCTCTTGTTTTTTTGAATTAAATGTGCTGTGACTTTAAAAAAAAGCCTTCCTCTTCCAGCAAAATATATAATGTTTAACTCGGTGCGTTACTAAACAGAATAAATTTGTCGGTAGAAGGTCAAACCCTGCATTAAAACCAAGGAATAAAGTACTGCAGCCGAGATAAAACTTCAAATTAATTATATATATATTTTAAAATATACGACAATCGGAAAGTTGTATTTAAAAAATATAACCGTAATAAATTAATTTAATTGGTTAACTTTGGTGTATCTTACCTCAGTTTTTTGCTTAAATTTAAAAAATATTGAGTCATGAAAAATTGCATAATTTGCATAGAAATGTATTAGATTTATTAAAATGAAATTTTAAAAGTGATTCTATGATATTAATTTACTGGAAAGTACTTTATACGACGTACTGTACGTTAAAGTAATAATAAGACTTAAAATAGATGATTTAATATGAAGTACTTTTAAAATAAAATAATAAAAAAATATATTTGAAACTGTGTATAAAAAAATAGAATAGTTTTATTCCTCTTTGGAAAATTGAATTTGTAAAGAAACTCAAATTTAATGCAAAATGCGGAGATTTCGAGCAGAAAAAATGTAAAAGTAAAACTGAAAAATTCCCATCGGACATTAAACTAACTTTTGAATTTTTCCCCATTTCAAGATAACCGTCTATTCGAGTTTTATGTAAGTTTCCTGCGATATTATCTTATCACCGACTTAAATCAAAATTAGATTAGGAATTTTGACATTTCTAAAATAATCAGAAAGTAAAAGAGAGATTTAGAAGGAAAAGTGTAACTGTGCAGGAAAAAAAGACCAAGCAATAAATAAAAGGTTATATTATGAATTAAGATGTTTTAAGGTCGTAAGTTGCGGGATAAACGAATTGGATACCATTAAAGATGCCCTTCCAAACGTTAAAAGTCGGTAGTAACAAAGAGAGATCCCCTCCATTCTCCACCTCCAATGCGAAAGGGCAAAGAGTAAAAAGGAATTCTGCTTAAAAATCCTTCATAAAATCGATAGTTGAGAGACTAAGTAGTCAGATATGATTGATTTTTCCTCGGTTTCGGTAAATATAAAATACCTCTTGTTCTGTTCAATAAAGTGAATAAAGGGGGAGGCATAAAAATTGATATTATGCAAATCGAACCCTGTTTTCACGTTTTCCCTTTTACACGAATAAAAATTCGATAGGAGGCGAGGGAAAAAAGTAACCAATTTTCAATTTTATTATGGGTATTTTACGTGTAAAATTTTATTAGGCTTTGTTTTTCTCTGTCGAAAATATAAAATATTTATTCCGATACGGTGGCGAATAGGTAAAAAGTATGGGGGATGATATTTTTATGTTAGCCATATTTATATTTTATTAAAGGATAGTTTCCATCTTCATGCTTCGTTCGTGATATAGGAGACCATGCAATCGCCTCATGTGAGAATGATCGATGGGACAGGAATATAAATAAAGAGAATCAAATGGATTTATAATGAGATCTCAGTATTTCTCTTCCAAAACTTTTCTTTCGGCGGATGTGTCTTATCTATGCCATATACAAATCCTTTCCAAGTAAAATTCAAATATTTCATAACGTATATTAGTAGAAAAACAGTTTGTTTGTTTATATTTATTCATGTTTCTTACTCTACAAATAATTTTTCTGTAAATTTAATTCATTACCTCAACTTAATAATAATGTGTGCTAAAATTACTGCAGATAATTTCTATTGTGTTTTATTATTATTATTATAAAATTTTCAATTCAGAATATTTTCTGGCTGTTATATATAACAGGAAAATTCGCAAAAAGATCGGGTTTTTTCCCCTGTATGCATGTATATTAGTTTGGGTATGGGGGCACGATTTTGTTTACCCTATTTGAAGCTTAATAACTTCTGTGCTTTTTGTCAAAAATTTCTGAAATTTTGCAGGGCGGTTTGTCTATTATGGGGATTGATGCTATTAAATTTTAGTGGTTAAAGGTCGAGGGGTTGGGGAGATAAAGGGGTCGCGTGTATCTCCAGTAGGATCGGACTTAATGACGATTTTACTCGTTATTAGCNAAACAGGAAAATAAAATTACGTTTCCAAAGCCACTAGGGCAGCATATTAGGACCCCGCAGACCACGAGTTGCTCGTAACTGTTCTAGATAAAATTACGTTTAACCTCGAGATTAAAAATTGCGCAACGGATTCTTAATATATAAAAATGTAAATCTTTCTTTAAAACGCTTAATATCAATAAATAGATTCTTATTTTGTACAAAAGTTCAAAGAAAAAATTATACGTAAGTTTATAAAAGATTATTCTTAATACAGATAGGATTATTGTAATCCACAGCTTTTTTTTTCTTTTTTATACAAATTTTGAAAGTTTTGCATCACTTCATGTCCTTATTTGGTGAATTATTTAGATGAAAAATGTGTAATTTTCGCTTAAACACGAAACAAATTCGGAATTTTCCGATCGAAATGAGCGCCGTTTAATCGAGTTTCAAACATTCCTCGGGAATTTTAATGTTTCTGTTCTTTATTATTCGCGAAAATAGCGAATTATTCGTAGTATCCGATGAAAATTGTAATATTTTTAATGCGAGTTATCGAATACATAATAATCGAATTTGATAATATACATATTCTTTTTTTTTCCCTTTCCATAAATGTATCTCCTATTTACGTCATAGAAGTTACCTCTGTTTTGTTTCAAGGTCGAATTAAACTCTGTCATGCTATAATTTTTCTATAATTAGATTTTTTTTTTTAAATTTTCAGAATTACACGAAAATATTATGCAAATTTTCCTATTTGTCATTTTAATCATTGCAGAAAAACGGAATTTTATTGCAAAGATCTTCATATTTTAATTCTTTAGCGGATCGATCGACTATTTTCAGTAAAATATCAATTTTTTTAATATTATTTTTTGTTTGGTAAAACGAAAAATGGTATGATTAATGTAGACTTAGATTTTGTATTAGTTTTATGATTTTCAACATTGTGCATTACCTGTAAAGGGAAGTAATCATCTAACAATTTCCGTCGTACCATATGAAATTTTCCTATCAATCATTTTATCATTTAAATTGTCCGAGAGAAATAAAAATTCGGATTCATTAATAAATCGCATTTATTAAAAATAATAATAAATTAAATTAAATTTCACGTTATTCGGTAAATTTAAATTGGCAATGACCAAAAACAAAATGGCGACGTTTTCTGCGTGGGTTGCGGTTTTTTTAATGTGGGGATGCGATTAAATTTTTCTATTAAAAAAAAAGAAAGAAAAATTTAACGAAATATTTTCTCTTCGGCTCGAATTTTCGAATTTTCAACGAAATGTTTTGTATCTTGGCGTTTTTGAACCGTGAAATTGATAGTTTTTTTTTGTTTCTTAATGCAATGACGTCAGTCGATTCCAATCATTTTGAAAATTTCCTAACGTAATTTGAAGGAGGGAAGGAAAAAAAAAACTTAAATAACTTCGAATCTCAATTAATTTTCATATTTATTTTTTAAAGAAAATAAAAATAGAAAAATTTTATTATTTCTTTAAAGTATAAAACGTCATAATATAACAATAAATTGATTTTAACGTTGTTTGGACTCTGTGCAAAAATCAATTTGTTGACGTCGCTAATTCTCGACTAGATTCCAGATAAATATAAATCCTTTATATCCCTAACAAATGCAATCGTCAAAAGTGTTTCTGAGCATCAATCGCAATTTGTTAGCATTTTATTTTTGCTGTATCTGCATATACAAAGTAGTGAACAAAACCTGAAAATAATTCGATTTCACTCTTCAAAATGCCACACTTAAACCCGTGTTACGTCGTTACCGCTAGAAAATACTTTAATATTTTTACTTTATTATACTGTAGAGCAGCTTTATCCTCATTTGCGATCGTTCAGCCAGCCTCCAGACTGAATTATACATACAGTTCCATGCTAGAAATGGAAAAATTTATACCTTAATCATTAATTTTAGTAAATAATTGTATTTGTGCTCAAGTGTCGACAGTCAAGATAAAGTCGAGACGGTTAATACTGTATTTAGAATTAATAGTAGAGAGATAATGGCGACGTGTTGGCTTCTATAACGGGAATATTTAATATTATAAACGATAAAATAGTGTTATACTGATCTTAATTCGAAATATATAAGCAATTATAAATTATTATAACACTAAAAATCGATTATTTAAGCGCGATAAAAGTTGTCTAGTACGTTTTTTCGCTCTTTACAGTCGAGGATAACGAGTATTTTAGCAAGTTAAACTGCTGTTAACAATAGAATATTCATTCCAACGTGTTTCTACTCTGTTATCGCTATCATACTGGCTGACAAACTGATAATAACGGCGTAAAAACCGATAATACAGGCATGAACACTCGTAATATTGAAAGTGATAACGGATTATCCGTATTTATTGTATTCGGTATAGCGACAGTAGTAAAGAAAAACATCCAGTTTACGTATATTTTATAAAGTGTAAAAGATATCTTCTCGGGAATTGCATTTTTAAACCTATATTTTAATGCAATTTACACTTTTACGAGCGTATATCTTTGGAGAATATGCTAGTTAAGATGATAACGGCATCATTGTCTAACATAATTATTATGCTATCCGTAATCGTTAATGCGGTTTGTAATTAAATTTATAAAAGTGGCTCGATGTTCAGCAATAGATAAACTATATTTTTAGTTTTTTTTTATTCTTTGGCAAACGTTAATGAATAGATTTATTGTGTTATAACGAGATCTTGATGTAATCTCCGAGATGAACTTATAATAAATAGACTATGAATAATGCATCAATTTGCTTATAGATGAAACTCATTGATACGTAATTTTGATATAATTTTGTATGATTTCCTTCTCAAAAAATGATTATAATTTATAAATTTATAACCAATATCTCTCGTAGATAAATTTCTATATGCTTAAGATATCGATTAATAAATTTATATAAAATCATAGGNTTTAATAAGGTTTACACTTTATAACAATAATTAAAGTATTATAATGCTTAAATGAATCTTTTCTACAAGAGAAATTTGTAAAATCGATATATATATATGTATATGAATTTTATATGTACACGAGTTGTCAGGAAGGGTTAAGATATTCATCAGATATGATATACATGTGTAAATGCCTATAAAAAATTACTATTTAAGTCTTAAAATATTACAGTTTATTTACTTTTAAATTTCAATATCGAGAGGTTTTTTCTGTTACATTCCTTTAGGTAACTTATAGCTTTACTTTATATATATATACTATTTCGTGTTAGTGGTGTTTTTTGTGGGATCCCTCTCAAGGAAAGCCTAAAACAAACAAAATCCATTAGCTAAATGTCAACTCTTCAACTTCATTCCCATTTTTTTCTTTCCTTACAAAACACTTTCACTTCTCTTATAGAGGTTAAATGAAGCAAATAACATCTTAATTTTTTATGATTTTTAAATTAAAATTTTGAGGAATTTAAATTTTAAAAAAATTTAAACTAAAAATAATAATATTTAAACAATGCTTTTACGCAAATTGGGACGTTATTATTATTATTTTTAAAGGGATTACAGCCTTAAAAGCTTATTCCCTCTTCATTTTAATTCACGTCAACGTGCTTAGAATTGTCTTTAAAAAATTTAATAATCTTTTAGAAGTAATTTTAACAATGCCAAATTATCCATTAAGATATAAAATTTATAAATCTGATTACAGTACAGAAATAAGTAATTATAAAAATAAAGAAAGAAATAATTCATTACGTTTATGACGAAAAATAATTAAATTTGTTATTAAATTTCTAAAGGCATTTAGCTGAAAATAATTTCTCTCTCGGTACTTGTACTTTTTCAATGATAAAGATAAGGAAAATATATATATATACATATATTCCCACGTCTAGCCTATGATGATATATGAGAAAATTATGTTTTTGTCTAGATCATCTGCCTCGAAAATTATAAAGTAAAAAAAGCTTTAAGCGCATCAACGAGTAATGTATTATGTAACGAAAATGTTCTTCGAAAAAATGGAAGCCGAGCTTGAATTATTATTCTGTATACGCATTAATATTGTTACAGTAGAAGCAAAACTGATTTATAAAATTGTTGCTTCCTCTTCAACACGAGTAACAATTAATTATACCATTTTTTTTCTCTCTATGATTACAAAACATAAGCCATTAAATCAAAATAAGGTTGATTAAGTAACCGCTAAGACACAATAGTTATATTTTTCTCGAATTTTTTAATGATTAACTTGAAGATAGATGAGAAAAATGGCAGTTAATTGATTTTGTAAAGTAAAAGGTATTAGATAAATGTAGGCAAGAAAAGCGTAATAAATTCTGGATGTAGTTATAAGCCATAATCTGGTCGTATCTATCTTTTCGTCTCTATTAGTGTAGCAGATGGTTTGATCATTACCATCCACGAAGAGTAAAAATCTAATAGAAATAATAGGAAAATTCCTTTTCTTTAAATGAATAGTTAAACATGTTTACTTTTTTATTTTTCTTAATTATTAATGATAATTTTAAATTTAACAAATCCCCTGTCTGTACTTTTAATTTTCGATTTAACTTCCTTTTTTTTTTAAACAAGGAAATAATACCTTATGTAAATATATTCAAACTATTCTTTACAGATGATGCTATTCAGAGAATGNAAATTAAATAAGACACTTAATTACAGAACAGTTTTTAATATACCGAATTTAATTTTAAATGTTTTTTTTTCATTAAATCTAAATGGACATTTGTTTTTTTTTATTTTTAATTTTAAAGTTTTCATATTTATTTATTTATAAAAATCGATTTTAACATTTAACTACATAAAAGAAAATACAGTGGTGTATTTTTTCTTCTTTCTCTCTCTCTCTTCCTCTCTTCTGCAGTATTTTATTTGCTGATATTGTTGGTTTCACAGCAATATCTTCCACTTGTCCTGCAGCCGAACTTGTAAGAACATTAAATGAATTATTTGCAAGATTTGACAAATTAGCCGAGGTAAATATCTTTTAATAATAAATGAATATAGATTTAAGGCAATGTATTAATGTAATTTTTATAAATATAGAAGTATCATCAGCTAAGAATAAAGATTTTAGGCGATTGTTACTACTGCATCAGTGGTGCTCCCATTGATAGATCAGATCATGCAGTGCTTTGTGTACATATGGGACTTAGCATGGTCGAGGCTATCAGGTAATTATTATAAATTGTATTTATCTTTTTAATTTGACGTCATTAATTTATTTGACATCGTCAATTAATTTAGATCCGTAAGAGAACAAACAAAATCTACCGTTGACATGAGAGTTGGAGTGCATACAGGAGGAGTGCTGGCTGGTGTTTTGGGACAGAGACAATGGCAGTTTGACGTTTACAGCAGAGATGTGGAGTTGGCTAACAAGATGGAGAGTGGAGGATTACCAGGGTAAATTTTATCATTAAAATTTTAATTATAAAATAAAATAATTATACAATTATAATTATCACCTGTAATATATTTAGCAATTAACTATAATAATAATTATTATTTTTTAAATCTGTATGTTGTTAGTCTAGTTTTCCACTTCTCTGATTTCTGTTAATTTTTTTTAAAGTCGTGTACATATATCTGAAAAAACTCTCAGCTATTTAAATGGTGAATTTGAAGTTATGCCAGGCGATGGTGCATCAAGAGAGGAAGCAATTCGTCTTGCTGGAATAAAAACTTTTTTTATAGTTCAAGTGCTGAAGCCAGTAAGACGTACTTTTTTGATAAATACCACAGTTTTTTCTATTTTTATGAAATATAATACAGTTTAAAATATTATTTGGCCTTGTTTGCTTAAAAACTCTTTAAAAAATTTAATAATCTTTTAGAAGTAATTTTAACAATGCCAAATTATCCATTAAGATATAAAATTTATAAATCTGATTACAGTACAGAAATAAGTAATTATAAAAATAAAGAAAGAAATAATTCATTACGTTTATGACGAAAAATAATTAAATTTGTTATTAAATTTCTAAAGGCATTTAGCTGAAAATAATTTCTCTCTCGGTACTTGTACTTTTTCAATGATAAAGATAAGGAAAATATATATATATACATATATTCCCACGTCTAGCCTATGATGATATATGAGAAAATTATGTTTTTGTCTAGATCATCTGCCTCGAAAATTATAAAGTAAAAAAAGCTTTAAGCGCATCAACGAGTAATGTATTATGTAACGAAAATGTTCTTCGAAAAAATGGAAGCCGAGCTTGAATTATTATTCTGTATACGCATTAATATTGTTACAGTAGAAGCAAAACTGATTTATAAAATTGTTGCTTCCTCTTCAACACGAGTAACAATTAATTATACCATTTTTTTTCTCTCTATGATTACAAAACATAAGCCATTAAATCAAAATAAGGTTGATTAAGTAACCGCTAAGACACAATAGTTATATTTTTCTCGAATTTTTTAATGATTAACTTGAAGATAGATGAGAAAAATGGCAGTTAATTGATTTTGTAAAGTAAAAGGTATTAGATAAATGTAGGCAAGAAAAGCGTAATAAATTCTGGATGTAGTTATAAGCCATAATCTGGTCGTATCTATCTTTTCGTCTCTATTAGTGTAGCAGATGGTTTGATCATTACCATCCACGAAGAGTAAAAATCTAATAGAAATAATAGGAAAATTCCTTTTCTTTAAATGAATAGTTAAACATGTTTACTTTTTTATTTTTCTTAATTATTAATGATAATTTTAAATTTAACAAATCCCCTGTCTGTACTTTTAATTTTCGATTTAACTTCCTTTTTTTTTTAAACAAGGAAATAATACCTTATGTAAATATATTCAAACTATTCTTTACAGATGATGCTATTCAGAGAATGAAAATTTGTTTATTGTATTTAGCAAGGAATAATTTATCAAAAGATCGTAGCGGGATGTGTTTAGCATATATTTAATAATGATTTAACATTGCAGTCAATTAATTTAAAGGCACTATACACTTTTTTTAATATACAATTTCTATAGTAATGTGTAGTTAAATGAGATGAGTGTTTTTTTTTTACTTTTTNCAAAACTAGAACAAATGACAGGGCATTCTGTCACCTGCTCTTCTTCCACTGTTCCCATGTGCGTTTGGAGGCTAGTGGTCTCTAAAAATATTAAGATTAATGGTTTGCAAACGTTTCTAGGATATCTGCTAAAGAAACAAAAACAAAACAGTTTGAATCCTAAGAAAACTATTGGAAAATTTGCTAGGATTTGTTATGATTTCATTCAATAATTCATTCTATTTTCTCACTCCTCCAAACTCTCTTCAATCTCTGTTTTTTTTAATCAATTAATTATAACTTTCCAAATCATTTTCTTTATATTTTACACAATGTTACAAAGATTGATGCCTTCTAACTCGTATAAAAGAGGTATTTACTTGGCACTAATCCGAATTTTTTTTAAATATAATAATAATAATAATATTATTATTATTATTATAGAACTCATAAATAATCCATTCATCTTATATCTCAGAAAAGTATTTAAACAGTAATAATCCATCATTTTAAAGGTCAAAAATTAAATCTCACATTCTTATTTTAATTATATATTTAAAGTTCTTTTCTATACTTTCATATTTTTAAATTAAAACCAAAAATTACTCTGAACATAATTAAATTCGATATTAATTAATTCTCTAGAACTCTCCATCAAGAATCATGGTTATTTAGAACATAGCCAAGGGAGTATTACAGAAGTACCCATAAGAGTCTTAATACATAAGTCTCTTTTGGGTACTTCTACTACTCCCTTATGGGTATTATGTAAAGAGTACTCATAGAAACTATACAAATGACTAAAGATACAACATATTAACGTTATAAATTTCATAGATAAACACGAACTGTGTGCGGTTAATATTACTCTCTAGCATAATGAAAAGATGTTGAAGTTTATTTAGAATCTCTTTCAAAGAAAATCCTATTTATTCTCTGTCATTAGCACTCAATTGGTGAAACAATCAATTCTATACAGGAAATTTTTTCAAGTTAATCATAGAATGATTCAATGTTGTTTTTCTCAACTTTAATCTTTGTATCTGATAAACCAGGAAAGGATCTTGAAATTTAGCAATTCTAGTATTGTGTTAGGAATATGTTAAATTGGCAACTTTATCATTTAAAAATAATTTTTATATATTCAAAGAAAACAAATGAATAATACGTAGGTGGTTTTTTTAACCTCCGATGGTCCATAAAAAAAGACAAATGTAAATAACAAAATGAATTTATTACCTAAAGTTNTACAAAAAAAAAAAAAAAACATAAGTTGTTTCAGTAACATGACATTTTAACAAAATACAAACATTTTTGACCTCTTTCTGAAGTCTGTATTGAGTTTCATTATAAAATTTGTATCTTTACATTACAAAAAAAAAAAAAAAAAAAAATAGAATGGCATTAATTGAAAAAATTAATGGAAATTCTTCGTAATTAAAATATTGTTAAGGTAAAAATGGATATTGTGAATATTTCTTTCATCCAAGACGGTTAAGAAAAATTTTAATTTAAGAAGGAAATTCTATTTTAAATAATTATTCGCAAAAATTCATTTATAAATGGCATTTTTAAGATATAAAAGAAATACAAATGAATGTTGGAGAAGGGGGAGGGCAACTTAATTGTAGCTTTAAAAATGTAAAAAAAAACTATTAAATAAGATCAATAATTAGCAATTATTTTAATTCAAAACATAAAAATGAGCGTTTTTAATTAATTACTTTCACTTGTTTTAGGTAATATCTAAGTTACATTTTTTAAGTAAAATATTTAAATATTTTAACTTGAAATATTCTTATGTATAAATGAAAAGACGGATTATATTTTAGTCAGGAGAAATATGAAATTAAATAATAAGAAACCGGAGAGAATTCTCTTTCCCTTGTTAGAAGCGACTCTTGTAAAATATTTGATCACAGGTTTCACCTTAGAACTCGTGAGTCATGCAGGAAAGAACATATTACAGGCGAATGGATCGTCTCTAATGTTTCTATATTTCAATAGAATGACCCGTTCAATAACGAGTAACAGTATGTTGCTATTGGCAAAAGTTTCGCATTTGAAGTACCTGTTAAAGTACTTTGATAATATTCGAAGAGTAAAAATAGCAAAAATTGATATTTATGACTTTCGACTTGTATGAAAAATTGAATATCTTATTCTTTTCAAATGTAGCAAAAGTAAATGCGAGCCGTGTTCAAAATAACATTTGCTACCAATCTTACATTAAAAATTACAATTTTTAACGTAAAATATTACATTTTTTCTATGTTAAACAATTATTATTACTGCTGTTTAATAAGGTTTACACTTTATAACAATAATTAAAGTATTATAATGCTTAAATGAATCTTTTCTACAAGAGAAATTTGTAAAATCGATATATATATATGTATATGAATTTTATATGTACACGAGTTGTCAGGAAGGGTTAAGATATTCATCAGATATGATATACATGTGTAAATGCCTATAAAAAATTACTATTTAAGTCTTAAAATATTACAGTTTATTTACTTTTAAATTTCAATATCGAGAGGTTTTTTCTGTTACAAAAAGAATTCAAATTATATTAGACAAGTGCTTGATTATCAAGATATATTTTTCCATTTGTATTCATCTTGTGAAGTTTCCCTATAGAATAAGCTTACAAAAAATTTACATTTAAATAATGCCTATTGATAAATGTACAGAGTTAGCTTATTGAAATTTCTATTATGAAAATTTTAAACGATATATATACATATATTCCCACGTCTAGCCTATGATGATATATGAGAAAATTATGTTTTTGTCTAGATCATCTGCCTCGAAAATTATAAAGTAAAAAAAGCTTTAAGCGCATCAACGAGTAATGTATTATGTAACGAAAATGTTCTTCGAAAAAATGGAAGCCGAGCTTGAATTATTATTCTGTATACGCATTAATATTGTTACAGTAGAAGCAAAACTGATTTATAAAATTGTTGCTTCCTCTTCAACACGAGTAACAATTAATTATACCATTTTTTTTCTCTCTATGATTACAAAACATAAGCCATTAAATCAAAATAAGGTTGATTAAGTAACCGCTAAGACACAATAGTTATATTTTTCTCGAATTTTTTAATGATTAACTTGAAGATAGATGAGAAAAATGGCAGTTAATTGATTTTGTAAAGTAAAAGGTATTAGATAAATGTAGGCAAGAAAAGCGTAATAAATTCTGGATGTAGTTATAAGCCATAATCTGGTCGTATCTATCTTTTCGTCTCTATTAGTGTAGCAGATGGTTTGATCATTACCATCCACGAAGAGTAAAAATCTAATAGAAATAATAGGAAAATTCCTTTTCTTTAAATGAATAGTTAAACATGTTTACTTTTTTATTTTTCTTAATTATTAATGATAATTTTAAATTTAACAAATCCCCTGTCTGTACTTTTAATTTTCGATTTAACTTCCTTTTTTTTTTAAACAAGGAAATAATACCTTATGTAAATATATTCAAACTATTCTTTACAGATGATGCTATTCAGAGAATGAAAATTTGTTTATTGTATTTAGCAAGGAATAATTTATCAAAAGATCGTAGCGGGATGTGTTTAGCATATATTTAATAATGATTTAACATTGCAGTCAATTAATTTAAAGGCACTATACACTTTTTTTAATATACAATTTCTATAGTAATGTGTAGTTAAATGAGATGAGTGTTTTTTTTTTACTTTTTTAAATTAAATTACTTTTAAAGTTTATTATTATGTGAAAATGTGTTTAATTTTAATGGTAAATCTATAAGATTAGTTTAATGTGCCGTGCAGCAAGCATTTCTATTCAGAGTTAATTATAACTTTCCTCTAAATATTATTTATTTTCTAATATTTCCTTTAAAAATAGTGCATATAAATGAAAGNAATTTTTATCGTCAACATCCATTGATTTCGTCTTACAAGTACATACATTATTATAATGTCTTAACAATATTGTAACCAAGTTTTTTTTTATTAATCTAGTATTTTTTTTAATAATGTAGAAGCATGAAAATGCAATTTAATAACCACAAGCGGAAGATATTAATTTAGTTTCTAATATGATAAATTGAAAGACATTAAAAAGGAGATTTACTTTACTTTTATTCTAATATCAATATCCGTACGTCACTGTTGGATTTATATTATTTAATATTCGTTTGTCGTGTGTAGGATTTTAGATAATTCTTTGTAAATTTTCCAGACAACTTGCTTTGATCTCATACATACCTCATGACACCTGTCAAGAAAAGACATAGACCGTAGCCATCTTGTGGATGATATTGAGACATCTGTCTTCCGCACTTCAGGATCTGTAAGGATTTGTATGCCTCGAGACAACTTGTCCCAGATGTACGACTAGAAATTGTCTCGGTTACATCTTCCTGTACAAAACTAGAACAAATGACAGGGCATTCTGTCACCTGCTCTTCTTCCACTGTTCCCATGTGCGTTTGGAGGCTAGTGGTCTCTAAAAATATTAAGATTAATGGTTTGCAAACGTTTCTAGGATATCTGCTAAAGAAACAAAAACAAAACAGTTTGAATCCTAAGAAAACTATTGGAAAATTTGCTAGGATTTGTTATGATTTCATTCAATAATTCATTCTATTTTCTCACTCCTCCAAACTCTCTTCAATCTCTGTTTTTTTTAATCAATTAATTATAACTTTCCAAATCATTTTCTTTATATTTTACACAATGTTACAAAGATTGATGCCTTCTAACTCGTATAAAAGAGGTATTTACTTGGCACTAATCCGAATTTTTTTTAAATATAATAATAATAATAATATTATTATTATTATTATAGAACTCATAAATAATCCATTCATCTTATATCTCAGAAAAGTATTTAAACAGTAATAATCCATCATTTTAAAGGTCAAAAATTAAATCTCACATTCTTATTTTAATTATATATTTAAAGTTCTTTTCTATACTTTCATATTTTTAAATTAAAACCAAAAATTACTCTGAACATAATTAAATTCGATATTAATTAATTCTCTAGAACTCTCCATCAAGAATCGTGGTTATTTAGAACATAGCCAAGGGAGTATTACAGAAGTACCCATAAGAGTCTTAATACATAAGTCTCTTTTGGGTACTTCTACTACTCCCTTATGGGTATTATGTAAAGAGTACTCATAGAAACTATACAAATGACTAAAGATACAACATATTAACGTTATAAATTTCATAGATAAACACGAACTGTGTGCGGTTAATATTACTCTCTAGCAAAATGAAAAGATGTTGAAGTTTATTTAGAATCTCTTTCAAAGAAAATCCTATTTATTCTCTGTCATTAGCACTCAATTGGTGAAACAATCAATTCTATACAGGAAATTTTTTCAAGTTAATCATAGAATGATTCAATGTTGTTTTTCTGAACTTTAATCTTTGTATCTGATAAACCAGGAAAGGATCTTGAAATTTAGCAATTCTAGTATTGTGTTAGGAATATGTTAAATTGGCAACTTTATCATTTAAAAACATATAAATAAAAATAAAATTCTAATAAATTTACATTTGATACAGGTAGAAAATAATACAGAAGAGGAAAATGTTAGGAAAGACGTCAACGAATATCATTTGAGACTTCATAAAGAGTTAATTAATACAGAAAGACAGTGAGAATCATTTTTGTATGATTGTACTTATGTGTATCAAAGAGTTAATTTATAATAAACCGTAGAAATTGTTAAGTTATTTTAATAATTATTAAAATTTTTAAAATCTAGAGACTTAGGCAAATATGTCAGATTATTTACTCTTTGGTTTATTGATCCGAAATTGGAAGATCAATATCAAAACAGCACAGATAGCACCAGCTGCATTTCGATGGGAGGTTTATTGGTCATTCTTATCTCCCATATGGCTGCTTACTTTTTCGTTATGTATGGGTAAGTCTTGTTTGTTTACGTATAAAAATTTCAATATAATTCTAATTTTATTTTTTATTACTTAAAAGGTAATAGGACAATAAAACATATTGCTTCGAAGTATTTAGAATTTTATAAAATATATGTAAATATGTATAATGTAATTTCTGATGTTAACTTTTAGGAGCCTTGTCGTTTATGTAACTTTTCCGTGTGGATTGATTGTCATCAGTAGCATTTTCTTCCTTATAATTGCATCGCTTTTGTCAAAGGTAAACGTCTTTATAATTTATTTTCAATCTGTTTGATCGAAAAATATGACAAAATTATTAAATGTTTTATGTAAATAACACAATAAATGTGTAAATATTTGAATTTTTTTCAATATAATATAATATAAAATACAATATAAACAAATAGAAAACAAGATTTTTCTTTGCATCGATTTAAGTTTGATAAGATGCTGTGATCTTATGCATGAATTACCATGATGCTTAATTATAATCAGTATATATAATTAGTACAATAGAGAGTAGATTATCCGAAGATCGAATAACCGAAATCTACTTGAAAGAACATCGTTCTAATTTCAAAAATTACGGAAGTTTTTATGTAATAACGATTGTAGGCGATCTTCTGTAGGCCCCCTATTCAGCTCTCTCGTTATCGACACTAGTGTTAGGTTTTATTTATTACGGTACAAATAGGAAAGTATGATTAATGAGTGGCGGGCTTCTAAGGCATCAAATTCTTCACTGCGCCTACGCTCGGTGGAGAATTTGATGTCTTAGAAACAGCGTTGACATGGTTAGAACTGCAATCCCAAGCAGATTTTTCAACTCTGGTGACGATCAAGTCAGCCAAAGATATAGCAGACCTAAAAAGGAGGAAAAAACTATATCAAAACGAAGCAAAGAACTATAAATATTAAAATTAAGCTGTTTTAAATGTTATAATATGCAATTAAAAATTTAATTATAAATTATATAAACAAGAATTAAGTAAAAACAATATAAAAAATTGAGTTTGCAAATTAAATAGAAATCATGTTATATCGTTATTAATGAAATATTTCCGTTTATCATTCAGAAAATATTCCTACACAGAAATAAACGTTCATTTATTCAATAATAAGAAAATAAAAGAAAAAAAAGCAAACTGTCACACGTTCGTTACGAAAATAATACGATTTTAAGGAAGTTTATCGAAAATCGAATAGGTGATACATAAAGGACAAAGTAGAGATTATACATTGTGTAAAGAAATGGCTTCTGCAATACACATCCATTATAGAATTTATGTCAAGAAGTTATCACTTGTAAAGCACTGATTAGTTCTTCAATACTACTACTACACGTAATACCTGTGATATATGCATTGTTAAATTCACTTCGTATGATAATTTACTGTAGTTTTTATTTCGTAATTCCAGTACTGTTATTTAGAATAGTTATATTTACGATATGGTGAAAGTCTTCTTAAAACAAATGGTACATTGCAAAAATATCATTCATATTATAAATTCGTAGCGTGCACTTCATTTTTCTCAGTTTTGAAAAAATGAATGTTTATTTCTACTTTAAAAAGTTTTCCGAATGACGAATTCTTAACGAGTTTACAGCCAAAAGAAAAGTCTTAATACTAAACTCTGAACATGTTTTTTCCTTCTAAATCATATTTTCAAAATCGAAAATAAAACCGGTTATAAGCGAATAACACGAAGAAAGTCAGGTATGGAGATCGTTTCAGAAAATTGTTGCTCCGTTCTCCAGCAGTTTCTAATTAAGTAATGCAACCACATTCATTGTTAATTCATCTCACGTATTAATTCTTTTAAATAATGTTCTTGTCACTACAAATATCTTATACATTGCTCCGTAACTTTATATCATTAATTCGACGTGAAATGTTTGTAATAAAGTGAAACGTGGCCAAAGATTTTTGGATGCACGTGGAAATTTCACTTTGGGTAATGTGACGTTTTTAATTTGAAGCTGACACGTACTTTACGTGTTTTTGTATTATTTATTTATTAAACGATAACGAAAATGAATAAAAATATATAAAATAACTGATATATTATTTGTTTTTTAAACAAAATTAAATAATAATCATAAGAATAATGAATTTTTTATTTGTTTGTAAAAGATGGGGCGAAATATTTCAGTAGTGATAGGAAAAATATTATTTAATAATCAAAAAGCACTTGATTAAAAATACATTAAAAGCAATTCAACATTAGAAAAATGTTCGGATGTTCATTCAAGTTACGTTAGAATTATTGAAGAGTTGAATATTTTCGTAGTTCTAATTATATATTATATAAATTTAATCTAAATACAAATGTAAAAATAATAAAAATGCACACATTAATAACAAATTTAATTCTATAAAAATATTTTTCAGTCGGCTCCAAAATTATTATCGTCGTTTTCACAAAAAATTCAAGAAAGTATTTGGTTAAGAATAGGAATTGCAATAACATTAATATCAACGTGGTTTGCCGTCCATTTGGTTAGCATGGTAAGTAACAATAATTTAAAATGTAAAAATGTAATTCGATTATATACATATATTTTTTCTTCCTATTATAGATATTTTCTTCGGTTCCCGTTTCCAATAATCCAAATACTACTTTTATAATTTCCAAAAATAGTGCAGCATTTCCTCCTTATTTTAGTTATTTTAGCATACTCGGTGTTCTCGGTGTTACCGTTGTTGCTAACATCAGTCACATGATCAAAATTTTATTTACAGTAATTATAATACTCGTTCAGTGTTGTTTTAATATCTTGCTTCAGTCTTCGTGGCTCGATTGGTACGACGCCACGTTCTATCCTCAAAAGTAAGTTAATCATATTTTACTTATATACTATAATCATCCATTTGTAATTAACGTTACAAAATGATAAATTTCTCAGACAACTGAATATTTATCATCAAGAGAGTTTATCAATTATTCTTGTTGGAGTCTCGCTGTGTCTTATAATAATTAATTGGCAGGTAAACATAAAATATTTACATTTTTGAAATTCAATATAAGTCTTCGGAGATGAACAGTAGCAATTTTATATATTAAATACAACAATATTCGTGTTTCGCTTCAATTTAATCTAAATCTATTATATAATTTCAAACTGTATTTATTTTATTGTCTTCACAAACAGTTAAAAGTTAACGAAGAAAAAGTTTCACGTACTAAAAGTATTGTGAATGGTAGTGGTGGATTAAAACCTTCGAGGCCCTTGATACAGATGATTGGGGCCTCTCTGCATAATTTTACATCATAAATTGATAACGTCTAATTGTAGTTATCATAATTTATAATTCTGTAAGGAAATTTACCGTTATAGTTGTATATTCTTTCTTTATTTTGGGAACACAGGCCACTAGGCACGTGAGGCACCAGTACATGTACAGTATCTCACGTGCCTTGGTGGTTATCCAGCACTAGTACTTGGTTAATTTCAAGCTAACTCTTGAACCTTGGTTGTGAGTACGGCCGTTAGAATGATTAGCTGAGAGACTTTATTGAAGACAAGAAATAAAAATAGAACTAATAATCTAAAATATGCCGACATACGAGTTTGTCAATAAATTCCTTTATTATTTCCATGGATATTCTATAAGTGCATATATATACTTATAATTCATGAAATATCCGAGTAAGACGAATGGAAAGGATACGTTGAGGAGATTGCATCTCTCGAGATTTTATCAAAGAACGAGCGGTTGGACATTAGAGTCTCAAGAAATTAATGGAAAATGCAATAAGATACTTCGCCGTAGCTATTGGTTTATATATAAACTTTGATGGAATTCAATCCGAATGAGAAATTTGTCGAATGATAGATATATAATGTAGCATCTTTGTTCAACCAGTTATCTTTATTTGAACGTAGAAAAAAAAATGTTTAATGCACCATCTCTATCTTATTTTACGTTCTAGACATTTTCCTAAAAACATTTTATGATTGTCGTGTGTTTTGACAATTTGAAAATACGACATTGTCTATTTATGGATAAGATTTCAATTTTCCTTAACAACAACTCACATTTCTCCTTACGCAAATAATAAGATATTAATTTTTAATTAATTTAAGTCAACCTTAATAATAAATAATAATGATTATATTATTTATGAAAAGAAATTTTCATAAAAATCAAACTTTATTAACATTATTTAATTAAGAAAATTAAAATTTATTATTTTTGAATAAAGTTGTATTTTGAACAACTTTATTCAAATAATAAAAATGGCATCTTTTTAAAAGGATGTTTTATATAAAATAATAAATTTCTAATAGTTTAATTATAAAATTTGTAAAATAGTATTGTTTTGTTATTTAATTTATACAGAAAATACAGTTAAATTCTTAAATTTATTTACATAAGAGGTGTTAATTTACAATTTAAACTATAAATTCAACATTTAAAAATTAAAAAATAGATTGGTTCAAATATAGAAATCTCATTTTTTCCACCTATTGTATAATTAATAAATAGTATATTTCGGAAATAATTAATAAAGTTTCTATTCATTGTTGTATATTAAAAATTTGCTACTGTTCATCACAAATCTGCTAGTTGATTAAAATATGCCAATGAATAAGGTGTTTAAAAAATGATTTTATTTCTTTAATTATTAGTTTGAAAAAACATCTAGGAAGTTATTTCTATGGCAAAAAGAAGTAGAAGAACAAAGAGAGAAGGTAGCAGATATGAGAAGGAAGAACGAAGCACTAGTTTATAATATATTACCACCTCACGTCGCTAAACATTTCTTAGGAAGAAATAAAAAAGACGAAGTTAGTGGGAAAAAAATTTCATTTTTAAAGCCTTTTTTTTAATTAAGAAAAAGATAAAAATTCCCGTTTAATTTAAAATTTTTAATAATAGGAACTATACAGTAAAAGTTACGAAGCTGTTGGAGTATTATTTGCAGCCATGCCGAATTTTTCAGACTTTTATACAGAAGAGACGGTTAACAACCAAGGATTAGAATGCCTCAGGTTTCTAAATGAAGTTATCTCGGATTACGATGCGGTAAGGATACGTTACAAATAAATTAATTTTAAATAATTTCGAATTATCCAATAAATTTTTGTATTACAGCTCTTAGAACAGCCAAGATTTCGCGATATTATTAAAATAAAAACAATCGGTTCAACTTACATGGCTGCCAGTGGATTGAGTGAAGAAGAAACTGTTAAAGTAAGTAATATTAATTAATTTATAAACTCAAAAGTTATAATCGAGATAAAATATAATTACACAATTAATTTTATATATTATTTAGCAAGATGCTCCAATTAAAGAGAAGTGGGCTCATCTGTCTAGGTTAACCGAATTTGCGCTGACATTAAAAGCAACTCTAAACAACATCAATAAAGAAAGTTTCAACAATTTTGTACTTCGAATGGGTCCGTATTAACAAGTTATTTTATAAAATAATGCATATTAGTAATTAATAGCTGTTATAGTTTAAATATTGAATTAAAAATTGTGCTAAAAAAATGCAGTTTTTAATTAAAGAATTTCGCTCTTAATCCACACGCCAAAAAGTAAAAAAACAATTCAAGTTTAAACTGTAACAGCAAATGTTTATATTTGACACTTATACAATTGTTAGTTCTTGAAGTTTCACCTGTCTTCATAGTGAATTGACAAAAAGAACTTTTATAATAAAATTCTTTATAGTTATTTCATTCTTTAATTATGCCTTTATTAAGTTTACAACTACCCATTTAAAAATAATGTTATGCGCATTTGATTTAATAACATCTTACATGAAAAAAAATTAATAAAAGAACGAAAAAATCATTTAGGAAATTGGTCGAATACTTCAAAAGAGATAAAATAGATTAAATGACTAAAAATATTTTTACATTCCGACCTTTTGGTTAAAATCAATATTTTTCTGGAAAATTTATGTTATCTTCTACGTGGTAATGATATCATATAGGATTATTAAGGAAAATGATAACCATTTGGAAATAATAAAAAGCTTGCGTGGTTATGTTGTTGCTTAGTTTACGCTCTTCGGTCGTGGGAATAAATAATTGCGAAAAGTCAATTTAATAATTAAAAATTAATGACAAACTGCGAAAAATAAGTTAAAGTTTACTTTAACGTTCTACTGTCACGCTTCATATGTTTTGTCTTTTCTTTCGTTCATTGTGACGTTAATCATTTTAAGAGCGAGTTCTGACGTTAATTATATATATATATGTTACATTATTTACGATATTATCGACGTTCGAAATGCCCAACTCAATTAAAACTTGTTGAAAAAAATTACATAAATTTTGTAAATTTAAAATATAGATTTTTTTCCTTTAACTAAATTTTTAAAAATTGCAATAATATTTATAGAATTATTATAGTAAAGAAAAAAAATTGCTGTTAAAATTTACAATAAATTTGCTTCAAAACAACTAAATATTGTAAAGATAAATTAATTATTTAATATTGAAAGAATTAAACATTTTACGGATTTTTTTAGAGAAAAATTTCTTTTTTTTTTGTTTTTTTTGCCATTTTTGACAGACATTAATAGTAATTTATTCATAAGTTTACGTGTCTTTTTCATTCAAATTAGTTTCTTTTTTTAAAATTTTGTGGCCATTTTCAGCATCGAAAAATATCTCAAATTCTTTATTAGACTTTATGTAATTTTCCACAACTGTCAAAATTCTGTTCTCTAAATTTAATAAAAGTGTATTTATATATTTTTTCATGTACATTTAAGCTACACCTATTAAATTAAGCATCCTATTGACTGTCACAATTGATTTTTTAGTATGAGGAAAAAAATATAGAAATTATTATTTTTACTGAATCATTGGAGATTTTTTATTCATTTTTTTTATGACCTATGGTCATTTTTTTATAACCTAGACATACGTTGATGACATTGATATCCCGTTTGTTTTAAATTATTCATTTTTAAATAAAATATTTAATTTATTATAAGTTTATTTTGTTAACGGGCTATTAATAATTAGTAATATTATTAATTTTTATATAAGTGATCAAATGTAAACATTCATTAGTTTAATGAAATCTTCTCTGGTAGTTTCGTAGTGGTGAGCATACACTGTGTTAGCAAATTTAATATCATATTGTGAGGTAAATCTCCTAAAATTTATTGAGTGATATACAAATCTGCTTAGATTATACTGTATTTTAATAAAAATGCTAATTTTATATATAATATTAATTTATTATTAGTGTAAAAATTAATACTTATTTCGAAATCGATTCTTTATAATTTTCTTTCATTTTAATGGTATAATTTTATATATATTTAGCCTTGAATATAAAAGAAGCTAGGAGAGCTTTTTAAAGAATGTATTCTGTAGTATTGACACTAATGATGTTTTAGTTTTGTTCTATAAATGATAATAACGTGTTGTTAAATATTTTAATACTTTACTGTACAAATTTCCACGAATTTGTTTTTCGAAATTCTTGTTTTTCCTCCGATGATACATCATTCTTTATGATTAAAATTCATATCCAATTCTTTTCTTAAGTCTTAGCATAAGTTATGGCCTCATTAATAAACTAATATTTCATCTTGTCCAGTATTAGAAGTTCTGTTAGAATTTCCAATACTGATTTTTCTTTTAATTTCTGATTTTAGAATAAATTCGAAATTGCATTGTTGAGAAACTCAGGTTTTTTAGTCATGAGCAAATTATGTAAATTATAGTTGGATTTATATATATATATTTAAAGTAAGCTATAATAGATTTAAAACTGATATTTTATGTCTTTCGTGTCGTGTTCTCCATTAGGTATAATCTAAATATGTCAAGGACAGTGTAGGAACTTAAATGAGGTCATTGATTTTGAAAGTTTTAAGTTAACTGTTAAATTTATCAAAAGGCGAGCAGTGTAAATTATAGAAACTTTAAAATTCACAGTGAAAGTTTCTATAATTTATAGCGTACTATAATATATTCTAATTAAACATGGGCAATATATCTATGCTGATCGATCCCATTGAAGATTAAACTGGCCATAAAGAGAGTAGTTGTAACAGACCATACACCGTACAATATGTTAACCGTAATCGATTAATCAATCATTTATATGTTTCATAACAAACAAAAACTATCACGAAACGTTTACCATGCTAAGATTACATCTACTCAGATTAATTCAGAATCTATTGCCGCATTTTATAAATTAAATTCCTTACGTAGAATTGAAATTACTGTATTAATTTGTAACTTGTATATTAATTTAATAGTTCTGCGAATTCTTCCAGAATGGAAATTTCGTTTCCATTTAATTTACTCAAAATTTCGATGCAAAATAAAACATCAAACGTAAAGCGGGTGTTTACCGCCATCAATACTTAAATTATAAACTTAATGCAAATTTAATTCACACGAGAATATCGATGAGCATTTCGATGAAATCAAAATCTCGAAAGCGTTTGAAATTATCTTCTGGGAGATTGTAATTTATAACGGTTTCAATTACAAGATTACATTCAGTCCAATAAATTATAATAAGCATGTTGTACTGTATATACAATGTAGACAAATAAATAAGTTTCCATATAATATATATAGAATTTTGATCTATCTACTTAATATCTACTTTAAATTTAAGTTGTATACGAAATTAATAAGTTTTAAGTTTGTTTATTTTGTCTGTATGAACAGATTAAGGATACTACTTCTTGAGTTTTAAAGACCAAATAGAAAGGACTTCCATTTCTGATTTATATCCAAAGCCTAATAAAAATTTGTACTAAATTTGATTCGATTTATCTATTTTCTCTTACTTCTGCATACAGTCAATGTTAATTCATACACAAAATAGTTAAGGAATTATATTAAACTATTTTACAAAATTTTCTTTAGATTTGTTTGTTTGCAATCCTTCGTGCCAACGTGGCTGTTACATTAGAATTACATTTGAAATTAATAAATTCAAGTTTTGTCCGCCTGTTGCTAAACTTTTGGCCACCTCCATAACTTTTATTCTATTTTTACAATAGGTAAAAAGAATTCTAAATTATTTTAAAGGCTTTATATGAAAGTTCTTTTAACTTTTAGGAAAGAATAATATACAAAAGAATTGCTTTCTATTTCTATTGAATTTAAAAGAAAACCAATTTTTCTAAAGAAATAGTATTTCATAATATTAAAAATGCAGTGCCTTGAATTACAAATTAGGAAATAACAGAGTACGTGCTGTTTTCCCTTTTCGGAATTCGCTGAAACTTTTATGACTTTTCTACTCTTTTGATATTAAAGAATAGTTTCCAGCATATAACTCCTTCGTAATTTAATCGAGGGTATTTAAATAATCATTATTGTAACGTCTCCATTTTAATTTTTATATGAACCTAATTTATTATGTTAAAAAAAAGTAATCGGAGTGAATAATGAAATTCAAGTATTTTAAGATTAAAGGAGAATTCGGAATAATATAAGAAACTATGCATATTCGACAATAGCATATTTATTCAAGTCTTTTCATTCAAGCGGTTGTCCTTACAAAATCCTTTAATTAATTAATATTCTCTTTGACAAATTCAGCTGAGAATATCATAATCAACGTAAATGTTTTAAGATAGCACAGAGTTAATTACATTTTATAATGTATTTAATTTTCTTATTTAATTAGAAATGCATTAAAAATGAATTGTGTTGGCCATGTTACAAAATTTGATTATGAGCCTCGGATTTATTATGTTTTTCTCTTTTTCTTTCGGTGTCCCGAAGATAAAAAATATTTAAAATAAAATGTGATTTTATGAATAATTTTAAAATGTAAACAATTTATATGTAAATATATTAACACGTTTATTGCATACAAATTTAGATTTTATGCTTATTTTTGAATTTATTTCCTTACGATTTACACAAAGATCTATAATTTCCATCAAATAAAAATAATAATTTAAGGTATTGTATGAATTAAATGTTGTACATTTGTATTTACGTCCACTCTTAATCGTCAAGTTGACAGAATTATTTCCTCAATTAAAATTATTAAATTGTCTTTAACTACTGTAGTTCAAAAATTTCCTTACAAGGTTTTACTTGCTTGTTTGAAATTACAATTAATTCATATTTAAATAATCAAATAGGAATTAATTTCGAATTTTACTTGACTGAAATTAATAATAATTTTATTAAACTTTAAAAGATTTCTATTGCATTTAAAAATATTTCTTCGACGACCCCAAAAGACCCTTAGCAATTTATTGACCCCTCTAGACAAATTGATTGATCCCTCAAGGATCGCTAGAGACCAGATTGAGAATCTCCTGGTTTAAAGACAATTTTTCGCTTCAAATATCTGATGTAGGTTGTTATTTTGGTTGAATTTATTGGTAAATATTTTTCCATTATATAAAGTTTCTTTGGTGAATGTAATCTTTGGAAATAATCATTCCTTATAAAGGTTCTTTTAAAGAGGTATTTTCTCTCCATTCTAACAAACATTCTATGCATTTTTTCAAAAAACAAATAGACTTGAAAAGGCCCGCTCTACTCCGAGTCCAGTACAAGCTTTCGACAAAATATCAATTTAAAAAAGACATATTTATCAAATATATTAAGGAATTTGTGCCTAAAAATTAATACGAGATCATTTTTGTTATGAATGTATCGTAGAATTAAAGATAATTACACGATATAAGTATACAGGCAACTTTAATGTATATCGTGTTATATGCAAACGGTCAATAATCCATAGAAGTGAATCAGCAAACTTTGCTGGCTTCTGCTTAATTTACGACTTCATTTTATTGACACAAGTAGGTTACATCACATAGCTTGGATAGTTTAGAATTTCATAAATTTGTTCGAATAAATGAGAATTTTAATAATAAATTGCTCAGTGTCCATAGCTGAAAGTTATTTTTCGGTAAAACTTAAAATTCTTTTTAGTTAATTTCGATTTCTATAAAATATATTTTTTTGTTTTCTGTAGAATTCCAAAGGTTTCTTCCATTTAAACAGAATAAATTACACAATTTATAATTTACTATTTTATTTTTACATCTCATTTTCATATTGGGCAATTTTTTCAAGAAAGAAGAAAAACATAATCCATAAAAGGTTTCTTTTACAAGTATAATGATTTCAAACTCCTTTATATATAAAATTTCATGCATCTTTACTTTCTTATAATTTATTTATTATGCCCTATTTTTCGTCTGGATATTTGTATTTCTTTAATCCTTTTTGGTATTTTGTTGCTGCTGCACGTAGTTCGTCCCGTAAAATTTTTGGTAAAAACTAATATAAAAGTACAGTAATATTTGTTTTAAAATTCTATAAGATTTCTGTTATTATTGCTCTTAATAAATCACTTCACAGTCTTCATTTTGTTTTTGTAAAATGAAAATTTCCGAAATTAAGAAAATTCTCAAAACTTTTCAATTTTTCAATTTTGAATTCCTGCTTAATTAAAAATTACATCTAGAAAAGTGCTCTCGACGTAAACACGCAGCGATAAAAAGATAAGATGCAGCAATTACATAAAACTAATCATTGTAAAAATTATGTAATAAGTATGAAAAATAGCCAATTATAGATATATTCTTTTTTGACTATCGAAATGATACTTAAAATGTAATTGATAAACGGAAATTAAACAGATGTCGACGTGTTCTTTTGTAGATTAATATTTTCATTTAATTTGATTGAAACTCTTCAAAGTATTTTCTTCGGATTAATTAGTTGCAATTTCAAAATGTCATTTATGTAATAACCAATAAAGTTTGTTTAGAAATATCGAACACGCGTATGAATTTACGTGACTATGCCATTTCGCAAATGAAATTGCTAAAATATATTATTTCAATGAAATCCCACAGGGGGCTTCAACGAGACCTTTATTGTTTATAAATTATTTCAACACGCCATTCTGTCCTTTGTCTTGAAATCTCGAATAACTTCTCTACTTAGATAAATAACTATTCGCTTTTATTATTCGTGCAAAAGGTAAATATTTCTTCCGCGTGTTTTTCTTTCTTGAGATTAATCACTAAACACCTTTGTAGTTGAGACATTTATTTGCTTACATACTTGTGCTTTTATTCCAAAAATATGTTATCTGAGGATGACTAAAAATGTTAGCGTATATCAAATAAATGTGTCTAGGCAGCCAAAGATGTTTAGTGATAATTTTAGTAATTACTCACTCGAAAGATTTTCAATTCTGCTAAGCAAATTAGAATAGCACGTCATCACTTCAATTATTGCATAGAGCCAAATTCATTTAGTTTTAGAGAATTTGTTTCTTAAAAGTATCAGCGACTGTATTGATTCTTCCCGGTTTCTAAGATAATTTCATCAGTATTCAGATTAGTTTTAAGTAGTAAATTATACAATTCATTTCGTAATGATTCTAATTTTCACCTAATAACAAGGGAATAAATAAAGCAGTGTTTACTTAAAAATGGAATATTTTTAATTCGATTATACTCCATCTTTATTAGTCTACACGACGTTAAAATGAATATTTTCCTATGTAGCATATTAACGATTCTTAGGATTTTTTCCTACATATAATTATATACATTCGGATTTTTTTTAAATTTTGGAACTGTTTTCTGTAAGATTTTAAGATCATACGATCAATAAATGTCGATTTAATGTATTTTTTTCTGCACCTTTCACCAACAGGTTCAATCTGTAATGGAGTTTTCATTATCTAGGATTGAAATTGCCAGGTTTTTCTTGTTGTTGCCACATAATTTAATTGTAAGAAAGAATTTCTAAACAAGTTTATTCGCAAATTTAATTAGCAATAATGAGCTTTTTAACCTGATTAAACAGATAAAATTTATTCATTAAAAAAAATCGAGTAAACTTATGAGCATTATTATAATTATAAGCTTGTGACAGGTTAACAAATTGCTTACTTTCTAAAATGTACATTGTACAGTACGAATGACCTTTCAGTTTTCTTTTTTTGATGTAAGCGCTTGCTTCTTGGAACATTTTGAATGATACATTGTAACCCATCCGTTCGTAAGGGAATTTGAAGTAAATGTATTTGGCACGTTGTGAATAATACATTACAGCTTCTACAAACATTTTAAATTTAAAATATCATAAAATTTCAGTTTATCTTTAAAAGTCATTTCTTTTTATTTTTAAATAGAAATCTAATTTATGTGTTTCAATCATTCAATAATTTAAAAAATAGCCATTTAGTACACGATTTACAAATCATTTTCTCCATCAATCTGTCAGTTCAATCACGAGTTTATAACAGATTCGTTTCTTTTTTAAATAAGAAAAGTTTTGCAATAAAATTCAAATTTTAAAAATATTATTTAGTAATAAAGCAATTTAACTTATTTATTTATCTTTTTTCCCTTCTCAATATTGAAATTTAATCTTAATTTTTTTTAAAAATCGACATTCAAATTGATAATGATAATGGTTTGATTATTTATCCGTGAGTGGTTTTCACAACACGAAATTTATCTAATTTATATAAAAATAGGNAAAAAATAGATTGGTTCAAATATAGAAATCTCATTTTTTCCACCTATTGTATAATTAATAAACAGTATATTTCGGAAATAATTAATAAAGTTTCTATTCATTGTTGTATATTAAAAATTTGCTACTGTTCATCACAAATCTGCTAGTTGATTAAAATATGCCAATGAATAAGGTGTTTAAAAAATGATTTTATTTCTTTAATTATTAGTTTGAAAAAACATCTAGGAAGTTATTTCTATGGCAAAAAGAAGTAGAAGAACAAAGAGAGAAGGTAGCAGATATGAGAAGGAAGAACGAAGCACTAGTTTATAATATATTACCACCTCACGTCGCTAAACATTTCTTAGGAAGAAATAAAAAAGACGAAGTTAGTGGGAAAAAAATTTCATTTTTAAAGCCTTTTTTTTAATTAAGAAAAAGATAAAAATTCCCGTTTAATTTAAAATTTTTAATAATAGGAACTATACAGTAAAAGTTACGAAGCTGTTGGAGTATTATTTGCAGCCATGCCGAATTTTTCAGACTTTTATACAGAAGAGACGGTTAACAACCAAGGATTAGAATGCCTCAGGTTTCTAAATGAAGTTATCTCGGATTACGATGCGGTAAGGATACGTTACAAATAAATTAATTTTAAATAATTTCGAATTATCCAATAAATTTTTGTATTACAGCTCTTAGAACAGCCAAGATTTCGCGATATTATTAAAATAAAAACAATCGGTTCAACTTACATGGCTGCCAGTGGATTGAGTGAAGAAGAAACTGTTAAAGTAAGTAATATTAATTAATTTATAAACTCAAAAGTTATAATCGAGATAAAATATAATTACACAATTAATTTTATATATTATTTAGCAAGATGCTCCAATTAAAGAGAAGTGGGCTCATCTGTCTAGGTTAACCGAATTTGCGCTGACATTAAAGGCAACTCTAAACAACATCAATAAAGAAAGTTTCAACAATTTTGTACTTCGAATGGGTCCGTATTAACAAGTTATTTTATAAAATAATGCATATTAGTAATTAATAGCTGTTATAGTTTAAATATTGAATTAAAAATTGTGCTGAAAAAATGCAGTTTTTAATTAAAGAATTTCGCTCTTAATCCACACGCCAAAAAGTAAAAAAACAATTCAAGTTTAAACTGTAACAGCAAATGTTTATATTTGACACTTATACAATTGTTAGTTCTTGATGTTTCACCTGTCTTCATAGTGAATTGACAAAAAGAACTTTTATAATAAAATTCTTTATAGTTATTTCATTCTTTAATTATGCCTTTATTAAGTTTACAACTACCCATTTAAAAATAATGTTATGCGCATTTGATTTAATAACATCTTACATGAAAAAAAATTAATAAAAGAACGAAAAAATCATTTAGGAAATTGGTCGAATACTTCAAAAGAGATAAAATAGATTAAATGACTAAAAATATTTTTACATTCCGACCTTTTGGTTAAAATCAATATTTTTCTGGAAAATTTATGTTATCTTCTACGTGGTAATGATATCATATAGGATTATTAAGGAAAATGATAACCATTTGGAAATAATAAAAAGCTTGCGTGGTTATGTTGTTGCTTAGTTTACGCTCTCGGTCATGGGAATAAATAATTGCGAAAAGTCAATTTAATAATTAAAAATTAATGACAAACTGCGAAAAATAAGTTAAAGTTTACTTTAACGTTCTACTGTCACGCTTCATATGTTTTGTCTTTTCTTTCGTTCATTGTGACGTTAATCATTTTAAGAGCGAGTTCTGACGTTAATTATATATATATATGTTACATTATTTACGATATTATCGACGTTCGAAATGCCCAACTCAATTAAAACTTGTTGAAAAAAATTACATAAATTTTGTAAATTTAAAATATAGATTTTTTTCCTTTAACTAAATTTTTAAAAATTGCAATAATATTTATAGAATTATTATAGTAAAGAAAAAAAATTGCTGTTAAAATTTACAATAAATTTGCTTCAAAACAACTAAATATTGTAAAGATAAATTAATTATTTAATATTGAAAGAATTAAACATTTTACGGATTTTTTTAGAGAAAAATTTCTTTTTTTTTTGTTTTTTTCACTAGGCACGTGAGGTACCAGTACATGTACAGTATCTCACGTGCCTGGTGGTTATCCAGCACTAGTACTTGGTTAATTTCAAGCTAACTCTTGAACCTTGGTTGTGAGTACGGCCGTTAGAATGATTAGCTGAGAGACTTTATTGAAGACAAGAAATAAAAATAGAACTAATAATCTAAAATATGCCGACATACGAGTTTGTCAATAAATTCCTTTATTATTTCCATGGATATTCTATAAGTGCATATATATACTTATAATTCATGAAATATCCGAGTAAGACGAATGGAAAGGATACGTTGAGGAGATTGCATCTCTCGAGATTTTATCAAAGAACGAGCGGTTGGACATTAGAGTCTCAAGAAATTAATGGAAAATGCAATAAGATACTTCGCCGTAGCTATTGGTTTATATATAAACTTTGATGGAATTCAATCCGAATGAGAAATTTGTCGAATGATAGATATATAATGTAGCATCTTTGTTCAACCAGTTATCTTTATTTGAACGTAGAAAAAAAAATGTTTAATGCACCATCTCTATCTTATTTTACGTTCTAGACATTTTCCTAAAAACATTTTATGATTGTCGTGTGTTTTGACAATTTGAAAATACGACATTGTCTATTTATGGATAAGATTTCAATTTTCCTTAACAACAACTCACATTTCTCCTTACGCAAATAATAAGATATTAATTTTTAATTAATTTAAGTCAACCTTAATAATAAATAATAATGATTATATTATTTATGAAAAGAAATTTTCATAAAAATCAAACTTTATTAACATTATTTAATTAAGAAAATTAAAATTTATTATTTTTGAATAAAGTTGTATTTTGAACAACTTTATTCAAATAATAAAAATGGCATCTTTTTAAAAGGATGTTTTATATAAAATAATAAATTTCTAATAGTTTAATTATAAAATTTGTAAAATAGTATTGTTTTGCTATTTAATTTATACAGAAAATACAGTTAAATTCTTAAATTTATTTACATAAGAGGTGTTAATTTACAATTTAAACTATAAATTCAACATTTAAAAATTAAAAAATAGATTGGTTCAAATATAGAAATCTCATTTTTTCCACCTATTGTATAATTAATAAATAGTATATTTCGGAAATAATTAATAAAGTTTCTATTCATTGTTGTATATTAAAAATTTGCTACTGTTCATCACAAATCTGCTAGTTGATTAAAATATGCCAATGAATAAGGTGTTTAAAAAATGATTTTATTTCTTTAATTATTAGTTTGAAAAAACATCTAGGAAGTTATTTCTATGGCAAAAAGAAGTAGAAGAACAAAGAGAGAAGGTAGCAGATATGAGAAGGAAGAACGAAGCACTAGTTTATAATATATTACCACCTCACGTCGCTAAACATTTCTTAGGAAGAAATAAAAAAGACGAAGTTAGTGGGAAAAAAATTTCATTTTTAAAGCCTTTTTTTTAATTAAGAAAAAGATAAAAATTCCCGTTTAATTTAAAATTTTTAATAATAGGAACTATACAGTAAAAGTTACGAAGCTGTTGGAGTATTATTTGCAGCCATGCCGAATTTTTCAGACTTTTATACAGAAGAGACGGTTAACAACCAAGGATTAGAATGCCTCAGGTTTCTAAATGAAGTTATCTCGGATTACGATGCGGTAAGGATACGTTACAAATAAATTAATTTTAAATAATTTCGAATTATCCAATAAATTTTTGTATTACAGCTCTTAGAACAGCCAAGATTTCGCGATATTATTAAAATAAAAACAATCGGTTCAACTTACATGGCTGCCAGTGGATTGAGTGAAGAAGAAACTGTTAAAGTAAGTAATATTAATTAATTTATAAACTCAAAAGTTATAATCGAGATAAAATATAATTACACAATTAATTTTATATATTATTTAGCAAGATGCTCCAATTAAAGAGAAGTGGGCTCATCTGTCTAGGTTAACCGAATTTGCGCTGACATTAAAGGCAACTCTAAACAACATCAATAAAGAAAGTTTCAACAATTTTGTACTTCGAATGGGTCCGTATTAACAAGTTATTTTATAAAATAATGCATATTAGTAATTAATAGCTGTTATAGTTTAAATATTGAATTAAAAATTGTGCTAAAAAAATGCAGTTTTTAATTAAAGAATTTCGCTCTTAATCCACACGCCAAAAAGTAAAAAAACAATTCAAGTTTAAACTGTAACAGCAAATGTTTATATTTGACACTTATACAATTGTTAGTTCTTGATGTTTCACCTGTCTTCATAGTGAATTGACAAAAAGAACTTTTATAATAAAATTCTTTATAGTTATTTCATTCTTTAATTATGCCTTTATTAAGTTTACAACTACCCATTTAAAAATAATGTTATGCGCATTTGATTTAATAACATCTTACATGAAAAAAAATTAATAAAAGAACGAAAAAATCATTTAGGAAATTGGTCGAATACTTCAAAAGAGATAAAATAGATTAAATGACTAAAAATATTTTTACATTCCGACCTTTTGGTTAAAATCAATATTTTTCTGGAAAATTTATGTTATCTTCTACGTGGTAATGATATCATATAGGATTATTAAGGAAAATGATAACCATTTGGAAATAATAAAAAGCTTGCGTGGTTATGTTGTTGCTTAGTTTACGCTCTCGGTCATGGGAATAAATAATTGCGAAAAGTCAATTTAATAATTAAAAATTAATGACAAACTGCGAAAAATAAGTTAAAGTTTACTTTAACGTTCTACTGTCACGCTTCATATGTTTTGTCTTTTCTTTCGTTCATTGTGACGTTAATCATTTTAAGAGCGAGTTCTGACGTTAATTATATATATATATGTTACATTATTTACGATATTATCGACGTTCGAAATGCCCAACTCAATTAAAACTTGTTGAAAAAAATTACATAAATTTTGTAAATTTAAAATATAGATTTTTTTCCTTTAACTAAATTTTTAAAAATTGCAATAATATTTATAGAATTATTATAGTAAAGAAAAAAAAATTGCTGTTAAAATTTACAATAAATTTGCTTCAAAACAACTAAATATTGTAAAGATAAATTAATTATTTAATATTGAAAGAATTAAACATTTTACGGATTTTTTTAGAGAAAAATTTCTTTTTTTTTGTTTTTTTTGCAATTTTTGACAGACATTAATAGTAATTTATTCATAAGTTTACGTGTCTTTTTCATTCAAATTAGTTTCTTTTTTTAAAATTTTGTGGCCATTTTCAGCATCGAAAAATATCTCAAATTCTTTATTAGACTTTATGTAATTTTCCACAACTGTCAAAATTCTGTTCTCTAAATTTAATAAAAGTGTATTTATATATTTTTTCATGTACATTTAAGCTACACCTATTAAATTAAGCATCCTATTGACTGTCACAATTGATTTTTTAGTATGAGGAAAAAAATATAGAAATTATTATTTTTACTGAATCATTGGAGATTTTTTATTCATTTTTTTTATGACCTATGGTCATTTTTTTATAACCTAGACATACGTTGATGACATTGATATCCCGTTTGTTTTAAATTATTCATTTTTAAATAAAATATTTAATTTATTATAAGTTTATTTTGTTAACGGGCTATTAATAATTAGTAATATTATTAATTTTTATATAAGTGATCAAATGTAAACATTCATTAGTTTAATGAAATCTTCTCTGGTAGTTTCGTAGTGGTGAGCATACACTGTGTTAGCAAATTTAATATCATATTGTGAGGTAAATCTCCTAAAATTTATTGAGTGATATACAAATCTGCTTAGATTATACTGTATTTTAATAAAAATGCTAATTTTATATATAATATTAATTTATTATTAGTGTAAAAATTAATACTTATTTCGAAATCGATTCTTTATAATTTTCTTTCATTTTAATGGTATAATTTTATATATATTTAGCCTTGAATATAAAAGAAGCTAGGAGAGCTTTTTAAAGAATGTATTCTGTAGTATTGACACTAATGATGTTTTAGTTTTGTTCTATAAATGATAATAACGTGTTGTTAAATATTTTAATACTTTACTGTACAAATTTCCACGAATTTGTTTTTCGAAATTCTTGTTTTTCCTCCGATGATACATCATTCTTTATGATTAAAATTCATATCCAATTCTTTTCTTAAGTCTTAGCATAAGTTATGGCCTCATTAATAAACTAATATTTCATCTTGTCCAGTATTAGAAGTTCTGTTAGAATTTCCAATACTGATTTTTCTTTTAATTTCTGATTTTAGAATAAATTCGAAATTGCATTGTTGAGAAACTCAGGTTTTTTAGTCATGAGCAAATTATGTAAATTATAGTTGGATTTATATATATATATTTAAAGTAAGCTATAATAGATTTAAAACTGATATTTTATGTCTTTCGTGTCGTGTTCTCCATTAGGTATAATCTAAATATGTCAAGGACAGTGTAGGAACTTAAATGAGGTCATTGATTTTGAAAGTTTTAAGTTAACTGTTAAATTTATCAAAAGGCGAGCAGTGTAAATTATAGAAACTTTAAAATTCACAGTGAAAGTTTCTATAATTTATAGCGTACTATAATATATTCTAATTAAACATGGGCAATATATCTATGCTGATCGATCCCATTGAAGATTAAACTGGCCATAAAGAGAGTAGTTGTAACAGACCATACACCGTACAATATGTTAACCGTAATCGATTAATCAATCATTTATATGTTTCATAACAAACAAAAACTATCACGAAACGTTTACCATGCTAAGATTACATCTACTCAGATTAATTCAGAATCTATTGCCGCATTTTATAAATTAAATTCCTTACGTAGAATTGAAATTACTGTATTAATTTGTAACTTGTATATTAATTTAATAGTTCTGCGAATTCTTCCAGAATGGAAATTTCGTTTCCATTTAATTTACTCAAAATTTCGATGCAAAATAAAACATCAAACGTAAAGCGGGTGTTTACCGCCATCAATACTTAAATTATAAACTTAATGCAAATTTAATTCACACGAGAATATCGATGAGCATTTCGATGAAATCAAAATCTCGAAAGCGTTTGAAATTATCTTCTGGGAGATTGTAATTTATAACGGTTTCAATTACAAGATTACATTCAGTCCAATAAATTATAATAAGCATGTTGTACTGTATATACAATGTAGACAAATAAATAAGTTTCCATATAATATATATAGAATTTTGATCTATCTACTTAATATCTACTTTAAATTTAAGTTGTATACGAAATTAATAAGTTTTAAGTTTGTTTATTTTGTCTGTATGAACAGATTAAGGATACTACTTCTTGAGTTTTAAAGACCAAATAGAAAGGACTTCCATTTCTGATTTATATCCAAAGCCTAATAAAAATTTGTACTAAATTTGATTCGATTTATCTATTTTCTCTTACTTCTGCATACAGTCAATGTTAATTCATACACAAAATAGTTAAGGAATTATATTAAACTATTTTACAAAATTTTCTTTAGATTTGTTTGTTTGCAATCCTTCGTGCCAACGTGGCTGTTACATTAGAATTACATTTGAAATTAATAAATTCAAGTTTTGTCCGCCTGTTGCTAAACTTTTGGCCACCTCCATAACTTTTATTCTATTTTTACAATAGGTAAAAAGAATTCTAAATTATTTTAAAGGCTTTATATGAAAGTTCTTTTAACTTTTAGGAAAGAATAATATACAAAAGAATTGCTTTCTATTTCTATTGAATTTAAAAGAAAACCAATTTTTCTAAAGAAATAGTATTTCATAATATTAAAAATGCAGTGCCTTGAATTACAAATTAGGAAATAACAGAGTACGTGCTGTTTTCCCTTTTCGGAATTCGCTGAAACTTTTATGACTTTTCTACTCTTTTGATATTAAAGAATAGTTTCCAGCATATAACTCCTTCGTAATTTAATCGAGGGTATTTAAATAATCATTATTGTAACGTCTCCATTTTAATTTTTATATGAACCTAATTTATTATGTTAAAAAAAAAGTAATCGGAGTGAATAATGAAATTCAAGTATTTTAAGATTAAAGGAGAATTCGGAATAATNTATGTGAAAAATAATAATTAAATCTCGCTTAAAATGTTTTAAAAGATTTTAAATATTAATTATTATTAATTTTCTTCGAATTAAACGTAAAAATAATATACAGTACACGAAATTTAAATAAAAATGTCGTAAATAATACGTTTTAAACTCAAAAAATAGGGAAAAAAATGAATGTTTGACGCTTACTGAAATAATTAAGGAAATAATAATTTAAAGGAATAAAATTTTATTTGACTTATAATTGGATATAGGAAATTCTCTTTAATGAAAATTGCAAATATATAATTAAAAATGAAATAATTGAACATTTTACCTAGAGAATAAATCATCTCTACGATAACTTTGGGAATATAAAGAAGCTAATATTGAGTATTATTTTAAAAAATAATATAAAAGTGGATAATTTTTCGGTAAATTTAATGAAAAAATTAATTAAAAGACGTTATAAAATTTCACAAAAATTGGCTGAAGATATAATTTTCTGAATACTAGAAAATTATATTATACTTGTGTATATTCTTGAATTGCCATTTATTATACTTTATTATTTTTACACACGCGTGTTAAATTAACAATAGATAAATAAAATTTGTATACTTTCATTAACTACGATCCTTGAATATTTCATTATTTTAACGTATAACCCACGGGAATTATGAATTATTGAACTGTGTCTCGGCGGATAACGAACGGTTTTCGTAATATGGAAACTAATTCATCTATATTTAAAATTATTTTAGGCCAACGTGAGTGATATTAATCAATATTATATCACTGCGTGTTCTAGCTATATATAACTAAAAACATATACGAATTATAATGTGATTATATTGGTTTTTTCATATTTATCTTATGATAAAGAAATATTAAGTTAGAAAAGAAATGAAAAAATATCATTTACTGCCAAATTATAAATTTGTATCACATAATTTTTTAATTGAATAATTAAAAATACTGTACAACAGGCCC